ATTCAAGAGGAAGGTTTTTTGACAATTGGTATCTTACAACTGTAATCACCAACATCCACAGCCTATAAGTGGCCACTGCTGACCAAAGTGCTCATCTCACACGGAGAAGGTTTGAGCACCACGCTTGCTCAATGCGAGTTGGTGATTACAAACTTATAATTATAAATCATAAGTTCAGGTTTCCTCTTGATGTTTTCCTTCACCGTTTGGCAGTGATGTCTAAACAACTGTAGCTGTAGCTTCAGTCTTATTATTCTGTCGGTACAACAAAACATTTATACAGCAACCCTTACAGGGAAATTAGGAATGATAATCGTTATCTTAAATTTCATGACCGTCGTCGTAACACTTGGAAATACAGCCTAGTGTACTTGGAATTAGAGTTAGTCTGGTCTTGTGGAGTTATGGCCAATACTAGCTTTGTTTGCCAAAAGTTAACTATGTATGTATTTATGTCGTAAGTTTGACTCCCTCAAGAGTGTAATAACTGTGTACGTGAATAATGAGGGCTAGTATACTGGATATATTGAAGCTATATATGGGTATAGTTTTGAGTATTCCAAGTTTTTTTTTTTAAACGTAGCCCCACACTATTATTTACTCCTGTGTCGTGGGTGCGTTTACAAACATACAAATTCACATACACATGACACCCAAACCCGAAACAACAATTTGTGGATCACACAAAGTGTTGTTCCGTGCGGGAATCGAACCCGCGACACGTTGCACGGCAACCGGTTGTCCAGCCACCGCACCAACCGTGCAGTCAAGTTGATCGTTTTTATTATTATATGGTTTTATTTAGCTTGCCCCGTTTGTTTTGTTTATTTGTTTGGGTCAAATTTAATAGTTGGAATTCTACCCCCTTCTTGAAAGATCGTTCTACTACGTATATTTGATACACACTCTTAATCTTGATGACCATACAATATAATCATTTTCTTTTTAAAACAACTTCTAATTTGGATATCAAACGAAAGATCTTGATTGGTTGAACTCATTAAAAACGTTTAACAAAAATAAATTATATATGTTACTTGTGGAAGCACTGTTTGGTAGTACCTACCTATGTAGTTCGAAGTATATACCTACTTTATTTTCTTTATATGAATACACATTTCATTTTTCTAGTTAGGTAGACATTATCTGCCACTCGCCTGTCAACCTTTATTAGTCTACGTTTAGAACTCTTATGTAAATTCATCTGATGTTGTAGGTATATAATTTACTAACTAGACAGTTAATGTTTTCACCCTTAATATTGCTTCATGTCACTTTCGAGGACAAGAGGGTGGTAGATAACTAGATATGAATGTATATCAGTTTACATTTCAGTAAATTCAAGCATTGTTAAGTTTACAACTTAAGGCTATTTACGAAGACTTAGATCAGGGCGCTTAGGTACTCTTGAAGTCAATCTCAATGTTAATGAATTTCAATCCAATAAAATCTCAATAATGATTCAATGTCAAAACTATACAACCCCTATCGTAGCTGTTAAAATAGCATTCAGAGTACGGAATATAAAGCCAAACTCAATACCATTTAGTTCATTCAATATCCACGCAATACGGATGCAATGGGCGCTAGTGTTGCAACTCAAGAGTACGAAATGCCAATGTCAATCGATCGGAATTGTATGCAAGAGTAAGCCCCCTGTTTGTTTTGGTTAGGCATTCTGTAATTTCTTTTGTATTAAACATTTGGCTGGTGTTATTCATTCTTTGGAGTCTGTATAATATATATTATGTATATCCTAAAGCTGTGATCAGCCCTTGAAAAATAGATGCGTGCGTGATGTTCAAACATTGGCGTGACTTTCTAACGTTGCGTTGCCAAATGTGGGAGCCATGGCAAAATCCTTGCTTAGGGGTAGTTTGGTAGGTAGCAAACTTTTTGCAGCAATACGGCTGATGATGTCATTCTTTTACTAACATGAACATGTCCATGACATATATTATCTTCTAATATCTTTTAATCTATTCCAAAGAGCTTACTTATTCCACACCTCTGTCATGTTACCCTTTTGGTACATTAGTGGACACTAGTTTTGAGCACTTTATAAAGATTCTACTGGAAGAACCTACTATAGGCAGAAAAGCAACTAAATTCACTTCTAAATTTTTGCTGTTGATGTTCAAAAGTGCTTTTTGGTCTAATTGAAATAAATGATTTTGACTTTAACTTTGAGAACGCCTAGTGCTTGTTAGTTGTGGGACTTTGTTCCTGACCTGTTTAAAGGAGATGAACCCATGAAATTTAAAATATAACAGCGTTGTCAGTAAAAGGGTGATGCTGCATGTCATCACAAATGTCATGAGTGTATTAACAAACACAGGCATTTTATATACACAGCCTAAATTCTTACAAAACTTAACAACATAACATCACGCCTTTTATCCCCGAAGGGGTAGGCAGGGGTGCACATTTTGCCACTGTACAATGTAACACCCACTTTTCACTATTTATGTTATGAGTCCCTTGTAATAGGGGGTGAGCCTATTGCCATACACTGGGCACATTCCAGACTCCGTGCTACTACTGATATTTTTTTTAATCCCAGTAATACTTTACTCGATCCGGGAATCGAACCCGAGGCCAGTTGCACTTGCGACCACTCGGCCAACGAGGCAGTCAAAACTTGACAATGATCAAATAATTGTCGGAAATGTAAACGGAAATACTTTACAAAAGTTATCTTGTCGGAAATCTCTACATCTCTTCACATACGGAGGTTACATTCTTAAAATTATTTAGAATGTAACCCCCATCTCGATTAAATGTTGAACGTATCCATTGTACAATACTGAAAAAGGGCCTCCCATTGATCACGGAAATTAACGACCACAGGGAATATTGCCTCAATCACACTTGACAGACGTATTGGGGATTGAAGTAAGTCGTTAATACATACCCATGTCAATGGTAATACTCTGACAGACCTTATTTTATTTGTAATAAAAGCTATTTTTGTATACAAAGTTTTATTTATTTTATGCGACGCAAAGGACACCAGCTGTTGACTGTGGAAAGTCCATCTACTTGAGTAAAGTTCTAAGTAATAGTCGCGTTTTGTGAATAACGTCTGTATCCAAAGGTCGTTGGCTTTAAACTAATCTAATAAGTGACAGAACAAAGGATCACATACTAGGTATGTGAAGTAAATCTATTAAAAGATCTTCACAAAGATTAAAATATGAAGAGGTTGCTGAAGTAAGTAAAGAATTAATTGACTTGAATTGAATTAATCGACTGCACGGTTGGTGCGGTGGCTGGGCAGCCGGCTGCCATGCAAGCGCAACGTATCACGGGTTCGATTTCCGCGCGGAACAAGTCTTTATGTGATCCACAAATTGTTGTGTAGATATGTTTGTAAACGCACCCACGACACAGGAAAATCCTATGCGGGGCAAAAAAGCAAAATTGACATAAACACATTTTCTAATCGCACATATGTACGGAATCGCGGTCGACCCGATATTCAGTTACATAATTGACAGATTGCTTTGTAAATATCGCGACTAATTGATAGCATAGTTTCGGGAGCACACAACGCTGTTTGATCTACCGAAACTATGTCTACACATCGAAATCTGATTACGTAACTACTTAAAGCAATCTCTACGTCTAATGCTACAAAATTCCACAACTTAGTAATAAGTACCTAAAATGTAATGTAAAATAACGTTGTAAATTCAAATTCACTACCCATTATTAGTGAAGGAAAATTAGAAGCTTAAGGCGCACGAAAGTTATTTGATTGGCGTCGTGATCGTGAAGAAAAAGGGAAGGTTCCAACTTTGAGGGTCCGCAACTTTTGCAAGCTTTGATTTATTGATCTGTCTCCCGGCGGAATTTGCGCTGTTTCCATTTAAATGTTAGTTAGCACTATTTGTTTGTGTTAGATCGGCAGGCTGAGCTGTTGTCAACAAACTTGTTTGTACTGTACACGCCAATGATGTACGGGCAGGTCATTCATGCAACATGAATACTGCCTATACTGCCTGTATATTGCTCGTGTAATTAATTCAGCTGCTATAAATCATACAATATCAACCTGAGTGCTCCAGTTTTGTCAACGGAAAATCAACTTTATTTACGTAATGAAACAACCTCGAGACAGTGGGTAACTTCGTAAAAAACAATTGAATACTCTTTGATAAAGTTACTTACTTTGCTAAAGAAGTGTTCGTCGATACCTACATGCTACCTTTGGTCTGAAGTTAATTCGTTTGTGCCTTACCTTCGAATTTAATCAAGATTTATTTCTAGTCTACGTGAGTTTATTTAATTTAAAGAAAAGGAGAATCTTTGTTCCTTTTCAGTTGTTCATGTTTCAAACACATTTAAGGAAATATAATCATTTAAAAGTATTCATGTTTACAGCTGAAGCCAATATAGTATTATTTTGTTCTATAAGAATTATCGTAAGACATATTGAATTAACCCATCGAGCGTCCGCGTTCCTTATGATTATGATCCAACGGGTGCACACGTGACATTTGGAACATTTTTTCTTATGATCCACCGGGTGCTCATAAGGACGCTCGAGGGGTTAACTAAAACTAACGGTGTGAATCAAAATTAGAGCTTTTCTCGGTATACTTACGTGAGTAGTAAAGTTTTCTTTTTTATATATACCTAACTCACTTTTTAAACTCTAATGTATCTACTTTGTTCAACAATTCCTTTAGTCTGCAGCCTGCAATGAAAAAAATACAGACTTGTATTTAATTATTCAGTTCTACTACTCTAAAAGATTACTGCTACATAAGTACATCCTTTGTACCACAGATTTGTATCTCGTCTGCTCGTTACAGAACTAGAAACTCGCTAACTTAAATAAGTTAGAAGCTGGAATACTGTTAGGATTTTCTATATTTTATAATTCATTTAATAGTTATTCAGTCACCGAATGGATGCATTGACTGCACGATTGGCGCGGTGGCTGGGCAACTGGCTGCCGCATAACGTGTCGCGGGATCGATTCGGAACAAATCATGATTGTTGTTCCAGGTCTGGGTGTCATGTGTATGTGAACTTGGTATGTTTGTAAACGCACCCACGACACAGGAGAAAATCCTAGTGTGGGGCAACGTGTAAAAAATATAGGTTACCCATATGTTCAGCATTTTAAAAAAGTATTCAATATGCTTGCAATATTTTGACTGTTCAATACTTCGTAATAGTTTTTAATTCCGAAAAAAAAATCCTAGTGCTAGTCTGTCTCAAACTACTTACATGAGAATTGGTTTTTATTTCTAAAAATATTATTTTCAAGCTCTATGAAGTAATTGGTTCTTTTGTTTTCATCTGAGGAACACCATAACAACTCGGAGACCTTTAAATAGTTTAACATTCGGAGTACAGACTATAGAGTCATGTTCAGCTATCAACGTAGTTTTAATTTGCTTTATTTCCTTCTATTTTAAACCAACTACAAAAAAAGAGGTTCTCAAAAAAGAGGGGGTTGAAGTCTTGTTTTTTTTTCATAACAGAATAATATTTTCTTAGTTTTTCTGACTCCTACTTATGTCAGCTCAACGCGATAGCTATATTTTTTCTGTAAAAGACCCATAAGCCAATCTAAGTCCCCTGAAACGGATCTCGGTACTGCAAGAAAGGAATTTATGCGGTGGCGGTACTGAATCTGGGTAAATGTTATATTTTATTTATACACAAGTGAAGGTAGAATATTTCGTATATTTTCTTAGTAGTATATTGAAATAAACCTGATATGTAAGGCCTGTAAGGGCAATACTCATTGATTGAATTGCCACAAGACCGACTTCCGAGCAAGAAATCTCGAATTCAATTCCTGGGATAAACAACAGGATATTACGATTCGGTTTTTCAAAATTCTCGTAGTGTCTCATTTTTAATGTGCTCTCTGCTTACCCCTTCGAAAATTGGAAAGCGTGACTTTTTGTGTTAGCTCTAATTAAATCTATAAATAATAATTACCACAGTCGTCTTCTTGAGTTTCTATTAAACCTAATACCACGTAAAAATTAATATTCTTTCCAAATTAATTTAAAAATGTCTACTCACCCTGTGATTAATTATTTAGTGCCTGGAGTACCTACTTAATTTATCATTATACTTAAAGTAACTACTTAGATACTAAGTTACATTTAAGTGATATACAAATTCAATTATTAATTTTAAATCTTTAGACATAGGTACTTAAAATGTTTTAAATTCCGGTGAGATTTTTAATATAATACTAGCTTCTGCCCGCGACTTCGTACGCGCAATCCCGATATTTCCCGACCCCGTTCTTGATTTTCGGTAAAAAGTAAAAAAAAAAGAATTGGGTAAAAAGTATCCTATGTCCGTCTCCTGGTTCTAAGCTACCTCCCTACCAATTTTCATCCAAATCGATTTACCCATTCTTGAGTTATAAATAGTGTAACTAACACGACTTTCTTTTATATATATAGATGAAAGCCTATTAAGGACGCTCAATTGAATGTCGAAACGATTTTGAATTCTATTTGTGTTAAAATTAAGATCAAAAATGTTTTAGCAAATTGTAATCATTCGTGACTTTTTATCTTAAGGATTCAATTTTATTACAAAGGCGATAGAAGCCATAATGGACTGACATTGATGTAAATATAAATAAAATGTTTTACATCTTATTTATAATATTTAAACTGTCAAACACCAAGCGGTCACCGGTGACCGCGACCTATTGTTCTTTAATTGTGTCTATAAAACCGGTACTCGACGAGTTAAATGGGTCAGTTTCGTGTAAATCATAAAAGTATTATTAGAAATTATTATGTGTACAGTATTAATACCCTTTTTAGTATTTAACCGAAAAATCCATCTCTACTCACGCCACGGGGAACGAGTTTTACTTCTGAAGTTTCTTATAAATACATAGTAGCTATCCTATTTATCCAGACCATGATCTATTTTGAAGTCCGATTACAAGACGCATCTGTTAATAAGTATCATCAAATGTTGATTTGTCTTGTTCTAAACACAAACTTAAACATTTTAAATATTAGCAAGTAATAAATCTGCAATTTTTTTTTCAAAATTAGAATCTGTATCATAATATTTTTTGTTGCAGGCAACCCCCGCAACAAATGCGCTCTCCAGCCGGGCCACAGTTTGATGGATTGGATCCGACTCGGTAACTCCGGGAAGGATCTCACGGGCGTCGGCGGGAGAATGCGACCAGTCACACCCGCTGAACTCTCCACACACAATACAACAAGTTAGTAAACTTCATTAATTTACTACTTTCTAACAACTAACTTAAAACACTCACTCGTAAAATGCAAATAAACCACAAGATACACTCACACTCACACAAAACTCAACGTAATACGGGAAAAGGTTCTATTATTTATTCACAATTTAAGTAAACTCAAAGATTAGCATCTAAAAAGGATACAGAGACCTCGTATTCCCAATGGAGTGTAGGGATACGGAATATTTCCAAAGAAGATTACCCTCTAATGCGATACAATATGCAAATAAAAGTCAACGCTCCAATAAAATGTTTCATAAGTTCTTTACACGAGCTGAATGTTGCAGACGATGCCTGGCTGGCGATACGCGGCCGCGTCTACAATATAACGCATTATCTACCGTACCACCCTGGAGGTAAGAATATCCCGCTACTACGTAATAATATATGAACCCCGTTCGAAGAAACCGTCTTACATTCTGTTTGTATCGCAGGGCCCGAGGAACTAATGCGAGGCGCCGGTATGGACGCCACACAACTCTTCGATAAAGTTCACCCCTGGGTCAACTACGACTCTCTCCTCGCAAAATGTCTCGTAGGACCGCTTAGATTCGATCTCCCCGATGCAGAGGAACTCTTCGACACTTCAAACCCGTCACCTAAGTCCGACCGTCTCAGAGAACCGTCTAAAGCGCAAGAATTAGTTAGAAAGTCCATGGAGAACTTAGCAAATTGCATAACACCGGTTAGGAAGAAAATTACTAAAGGTGATGACAATTCTAAAGGGAGTCCACCTAGCAAGATTATGCAGAGCTTAGTCCAGTCCGCTGATTTACCCATGTCGATAAGTCGCAGAGCAGCCTCGAGTCCCGTGAAAAAAACGGACAAGAGTCCAGATTCACCTCTACCTCTCCGCCATGATTGGATTCAAACATCAACAAAACTAACGATATCCGTGTACACAGGACACCTGGCTAACCCGGGTGGCTGTGCCCGGATTACTGAAGGCTTTTTGTTGATTGAAGTTGCGACCAACGGCTGGTTGAGGACGCTTAAAATAAAGCCCGAAGCTAAATTAAAGGAACCTCTACAGCTGCGTGTGTTCGCTGAGAGCGGAAAAATAGAGGTGAGCTACAGAAATGATTAACAAACTTATTATGTTTTATGTATGTAATAGATTCTAGATAGAAGGAAATTGTATCCGCAATCGTGTAGGTGTTCTGTTCCTAAAAATAACATGATTGTTAATGGTGTCTATTTTTGTAGATCACCGCACTCAAAGCGGAGCCGAGTGTTTGGAAGGGTTGTGGGGAGGTGACGCTGGGGGCGGCTAGCCGCGTCTCCTCGCCGCGGACCGTCGAGTGCCGGGTCATGGAGGTGAGCAGGGTGTCACACGACACCTCGCTACTGTCCGTGTGTCCCAGAGCTGGGCCAGTCGTCGTGCCATTAGGACATCATGTACGAGTGCACAGAAGAGTTGAAGGTGAGACTAAAATAAAATTAAAATAAATTATATTTTCAAAATTTTTACACAGATTTTCTCAGTCCTAGAAAATGTCCAGCTATTTCATTTACTCTAAAATACGAGCTTTACTCTCCAACTAGTTACATCAAGCGACACAACTAACTGGGTCTCCGGAGAGAAAAAAATCGTATTACGCTCGATGGACGATTAACGAAATGAGGTTTTCGTGCTTATGCTTAAAATCCTGGAGAGCTCATCTCTCAACTAGAGCGTATCACTTCGTTACGACAACGTGGAATTATGAACGTGGCTCAACGTAATATCCATTACATAATTTGGAATTCAGGTAAAATTCGCGTAACACGTTGATGACATATTAATTTCGCGGGAAATGTAAGGATATTTATAAACCTGTTTATTGAAATATGCTCCCTATTGTAACGTGTGTGACAGGCAGACGGCTGTCTCGTGTGTCAGGGCAAGAGATGTTTTATGTATTCATAATATTCATGTTATTCAAATAAGTTCCTTTCATTTCATCCCTCATAGTGGAGCACATGTCGTCTTGATATTTTTAACGAGAAGCGAAACTTCGGTATGAAATATTAAGCTACTGCCTACTTTTAATATTATTATGTGGAAAAGATGAACGAGTTTAGTCGTTTATATGAACACATACATATATAGGTGCACATACATACATACATATATGTGTTTTTTTAAGGGCCAAAATCATTCAATGACTTCTCCCGCCTGGGTGAGGCGGGAGGGAGTGTCAGACTCTTACTGACTAAAAACCACCCTTCCTTCCTTCTCCTGCGCTTCGAGCCGAAGCGCTGGTAACCCGTTAGGTTCTCCGCGACTCCGAATCGGCATCAGCCCTGTTGCGCCCTATCCGTGGTGGTCTGACGGCTCTTTGAGGCGCGCGCGGAACGCGACACACCGTGCGCTCGGGATGTACGTGTGTCTACAGAACACTCATACGCCTGAATAACACTATACTTAAGTGTTTACAACTTTACACCCATATAAGTTTATTTTCTTTTCTATTAGTTACTTTGAATAAAAGATAGCTTAATATAGGGCGTACCTAAACGCTTAGGTACCTACGTACACCTAGACTTAGACAATACTTAATTTAGAATACAAAACACAAAGCCTAAAATCCTCCTCAAAGTTTAACAATTAATTTCTTATTCTTTGATCCAGTACACTTGGAATTTAGAACATCGAAACATGATCTGAAACAGAGAAATCAATCGTCTGTCTGGTATATTTTCTCTTGGCAACACCGACACGTTACGCTAACGTCTCAGAATTCAATGGTAGCACTTATATTGGCTTTTGTTCTCTTTGATATCAATTGCTTTATTTGATACTGTAGTTGGTATAGAAATATACCTTTGGGACAGAAAATAACAGACTATTTATAGCAGCTTTGATTTACAATATATTATGTTTTGCTAGAGTCAGACCTACCTATCCGAATTAATCTTTTCTATGATATTTGAAAACCATGATTTAACACTTTTAATGTAATAATGTAATGTAACAGTTAAACATTATCTTTCTTCTAGATTTAGTCAGTAAATTATTGCCGTACACCGGGCACTATTTCAAAATTATGAACAGTTTTCAAACCACTCTCTTCTAAATTTTTGCCAGCTAAGTACGTTATTTTCCCTAACCCGAGTTTACCCAAAAATTATTCCAATCTTCACTCTACTACCGAAAATTCCGCATTCTAAAATCTTACACAGGAAAATAATCAAAGTCTCTTATTTGATTTTATAGAGGACCCCTAAACGTGGAACATAGATTGAAAAACATTCCATAGTCTGTCCCTATATAGAATCGTAATTAATGAACCGTAGTACGTACTTCTACCTTCATTAGTGCTATCTGCAGCGGAACTTTATTAGTGAGGGAAGGTTCAAGTGCTTACTGCCTACCCACTTACGTAAACACAATAGAGTATGGAATATAGAGGTTGGTACTTGGTATAGGAAAATGAAAATGTTATTTGAGAAAAGTCTTCGTCACTGTGTATTGTGTGGACGTGGACACATTTTTTACGTAACGTGATCGTTCTTTGGAGCGTCTGAAAGGTCAATTAATGAATGTATCATCTATTTTTTATCGTTATTTCATTCTTTAATTTAAATTATTATAGGGAGCGAGCCTACTATTCTATAAATCTTATTTAACCCGTCGTGTGTCTAACCGGGGATCCACGCGAGACACAATGTATTTTCTATTGTGTCTCATATCAGTGCATTCAAGCGGTTAGGGACAAGCCTCTATATTACTCTTTTTATGGGGCAAGTCCGCCACAACCTCCCAAAACCACTGCAACTCTAGTAAGCCAGGACACTCAAGTCCAGCGCGTCTCAGGGACATGAATAACTTTATTGTATCCCGCAACAAAATAAATCAGAAGATATAATTAATGAAGAAAAAACGACCTATACCTACTCTATAAACTGGACTTTTATAAGTGTGGGTCAAGTCATGCAGGTAATCCAGGATCTACAGTAGATACAACCATGAAAACACCACGACCTTACAAAAAACCGACGTGAAACAACGCTTGCGTTGTGGTTCATCGCGTGAGATTACCGGAGGCCCAATTACCCCCCCTTTCCCAATCCCTGAGTCTCCAACAATCCTTAAATTCCTAATCCCTCTGGTGTTCCAGGTGTCCATGGGCGACGCCGATTGCCTACCATGAGGTGATGCGTCTGCTTGTTTACCGGCTTATACCATAAAAAACACAATCCTAGAGTTTGCGGAGCTCTTGCAAAGAATTTAGAAAATCAGTAAATAAATAATACTCTAATAAAATACAATATTCCTTGTCCCAAAACTCTGCTGGTAGAGAAGCACTGTGTAAATGTTGAGAATGAACACTTTCCTATTATCACTTTGTTACAATTTTTCTATTTTTGCACCCCTTTCGAGTTGGATCCTCACGTGTTGGGGCCTCGTGACATCCCATCTTGCCACTTTATTGTTACGACACTGGAAGCTTAAAATACCTCATTTTATTCCGGTAACTGTTCAAACGTTGTTAGGTAGCAATAGCTATTTGTATGCCCAACACGAATGAGGGGACATCCAATTCCAGTTGTCTAATCGTTTCTTTGAATTCAGTTCGTAAAATAACTCCTCGTGAATTAATATTCATTCTACTTTTCAAGTCGACTTAATTATGTACCTATGATTTCATCCATTCTTACTACCCGAAAAGGAGCAATAGAGTCATCTGTTTTATTATTTTTAAGGCTGTTGGTACCTAAGTGGACACTACAAACTTTTTAAATCATTAGTTTTACCTCGTCCTTGTCGCTTAAAATGTTTTTTTTTGTTACTAGGCTCAGAATGTGTGCGTTCATATACGCCTGTTGGTGAGGGCTGGGGACCGCCAGATGGCACTGAAATCTTCTCAGCACTCCGACTGGCGGTGAAGCGTTACGACAGTGGTGTCCTCTCACCGCACCTCACAGCACTAAAAGTTGGAGACCTCATTACCCTCTCTGGACCTTACGGCAACTTTCAACTGCAAAAGGTAGTTTTAATTATATTTTCAGGCTTGGGACGGTCCGAAAGTTACCTATTTAATTTTTATCACAAGCTCTGAGTTCGTGACTTTCATCACTCATTTTTTCGTTCCTGTGGAAAATATTCAAGAAGTATCATTTAATTAGCGTCTTTTGAAAAGATTTTTGTAATTGTGGACTTTTTGCTATTCGCTGTAGGTCACTTTTTCTTTGCACTTTATAACTAACATTTCAGCTGCCCTATTAAAACCGTGTAGCTACGTTAGTTCCGATAGTTTATGCCTATATTAGTGGTTGGAACCGAATAGTTCAGAAGGTTAGGGGTCGATCCTCTTGACCTTTTGAAACTCTTTATCATACCCCTTTGTAGAACAAAGCGTTCATAAATAACTTTAATGGCATCCCAAACTCATAAAAAAACCAACTTGATCATCTTTTCTTTGTATGTCCTAATAAATCAAAGTTTTAGGACATTTGTAAGATCAGCAAGGAGTGTAATTTATTGTCCATTTTCTTTTTCAGCTGAAGACAGTAAAGAGCCTGTATTTGATAGCGGCCGGTACTGGGATCACGCCTATGCTCGGCCTTATAAAGTTTATGATGTCAAGGTCTAATCCTAGATGGTGAGTTTGTAAAGTTTTTAATTTATGAAGGCGTAGGCAGAGATGCACATGTAAAAATTCCAACCACAAATTGCACAATTCAGTTTTCCTGTATAAATCCCATGTACTTAATAAGGAGTGAGTTAATACCATACATCGAACACAATGTTCTAAGCTCCGCTCTATTATAAAAAAATCGGAATACATGTCATGTCATTAATACTTTTGGCCAGACCTCTTGCTCGGCAGTCGCACTTGACCTAAGAGATCAAAAGCTCTCGTTTTTCACCACATCATTAAAAAAAGCTATTAGTCCGAACACAAAATATGCGTGACTAAAGTAATTATGGCCCGTGATTAACCAATAGATAAACACATTTTCACATAATTTTCAAATAACAAATATTACACGAACACCTTGCACCTAACACGAACGTCGGAAGTCGGCCGTCGGATCCAGGCGAGGTCGACCCATCAATCATAGGTACTTTGTTGCTACGTCATCATTATGTAATCGATATTAAAGTACCAGACAGAAATTAACTGAGAAGCTATTTCAATAAAGAATGGAAGAATGCTTGGAAGTCAGAGTAGGTACTCACAATATCTTCACCTTTTGCCCTTTAGGTACTGTTGGACTCCCATACTGTTGAAATGGAATGAAAATAAATATTGTTACCTATTCTGAAAACTGACTCAGCGTTTTATATTATTTCCAGTGAACGAACACACCTACTATTTTTCAATAAAACTGAAGCAGACATCCTATTTCTAGAAAACTTCGAAGAAATGGCCAAAGAAGACGACAGGTAAATCAGGTTTCTTTTAATTCCATATTACCCTATTGGGTAGATGCCTAATTTTTATTTCAATGTCCGTCTGGTAATTATTTTAAATCATTAGACACGTATTTTTTATTTTCTTACAGAAACGAATACTTTCGACGATATATTGATTTTAAATGTCGCGTAACGTCACTTTATTGTACGGTCAAAGGTCAAAAGTCCACCGTAAGACTACTATCGGTTGCGCTGCAGCGCTTTATATACACACATGCACACGCATATTTTTATCCGTGTGCGTACGCGTACGTGTGTTTATGCGTACGCACGCGTTTTTATGCACATTAATGTGAAATTACTTACACATTGCCGTGTGACCATCACTCACGGTGGCAGTGGACTTTTGACCTTTGACTGTACATTTTTTTTTCTTTTGAAAAAAACGTTGCCTCACACTAGGATTTTCTCCTGTGTCGTGGGTGCGTTTGCAAACTACATTTTATACGTAGAAATGACGTTTTAGCCCTACTCCTAAACTTTGTTTCGTTTTATCTAAGTATTGTTTTATTATACGACAAAATAAAAAAATACGTGTCTAATATTTTTTCATTACCTAACTTACGGACTAATTATATTTTTAATTTTTATACCCTGTCATCATCCCAATTTTCGTGATTACCAGTGCTTACTTGTGAAAAAACTTTTTGTCTATCGCCAAACACTACAGCAATAAACTGTAAACTAACATCGACTTACTTCTTTTCCAGGCTGAAGATCACACACGTTCTATCAGACGCCAGTTCATCTTGGTCTGGTCACAAAGGTCGCATCAGGGACGAGTTGCTTACAGAAATACTAGGACAAGTGAAATGTGACGACAAATGTTCTCATTACGCTTGCTTGTGTGGCCCTACTGAGTTCACTTACGCTGGCCTCGATTTATTGAAGAAACATGGCTTCAAAGACGACTGTATTCACGCTTTTATGGGATGAGTGCCATAATATTATTGCGCTAAATTGCTATGCCAGTGATAAACAAGAAATTACATTGTTCCTTATTGGAAAGGCTTTGCGCATAAACAATATTATTAGCGCAATAGTTGCGCATACTTGCGCTAACTAGTGTCTGCTTAACACCGCTAACCGTGCATTTTAGCGCAAACAATAACATTGTTCTACATAATATGCCAAAAATAGATCACACATCTTCGGTATTTTATACAAGCACTTAAATAGGAACTAGATGAAAGTACAACCAAAGTATTCAATAAGATTTTTTTTATTCCTAAAAGATTGTAACTGCCCAATAAAAGAGCAATTGTATAATAACATAGTTAATAAACTGTATATTGTAGTTTTAAAAAAGGAACGTCTAATTTTTTTTTAATAATATTTAGTAAAGAGTGAGATCTATTAATACTGTAGCTGTAACTGAATAAAATACATCGTAGAAACTGTTTGACAAGTTTCGGCCAAATTCTCGCACTTACGATAACTTTCAAGAACAAATTAAATGTGTATTAGTTTTAAAACCAAAGTGTGATAACTTAGCTTTTTTAGGTACGTCGGACATTATTTTAGTGATTTGTGATTAGAATATTTGTGATTGAGTAGATTAGCTCAATGTACAGAAAGACAACAGTAAGTCATAATTGTATGAAGTCAAATCCTGTCGATATTTATGTACCTATTCCATCCATTATTAAATGTAACTTGTAATCATGTTAAGTTAAATTCTTTGTATATTTTCTTATTGAATTAACCCAGTTTTATTTCCATTTATATTTTAGTGCCAAAATTGTAACATGCTAATTTTAAAACGAATTAAAAAGAATACGTAGTGCTAAATAGTATAAACCAATTTCTTAAAAATATATTTCAACATATAAAATGTACTTAAAATGTGCAAATGTGAATAATTTTGAGAGTTTAATGTGCATTCTGTAATACTTAGTAAGAGAAAGTATTTTTTTTAAACCTCTAATGTAATCAGACTTAGGTATTTTACTAGTTTATCTATTTTTACCTCACATTTAAAGATTCTGATATGAAATGTCCTTATAAAGTTTAATTTGGACCTCTATACATGTATTTCTGCGGGTCAGACATTGAATTTCAGTATTTCACGAGCATTATTCAAATTCAAAATGTACATAACAATATTTCGGATATCATGGTAAAATAATTACAACATATCAAGTACTTACATTTTGTAAAAGGACACCAAAATTTTGTATTTGTTTTTAACAAATTAGATTTGTCAAATTGTCATTAATCAAACGGGTAACCATTAATGTTTGCATTGAAATAGTAGTGTAATCAAACCATGTATAGAAACTAGGTGTGTGTTATATAAATAACAAATTTTAATAATTCTATTGTATAATTTGTAGTATACCTAATTATGTATTTCATTTATTTTTACTTATAAAAGTGAAATTGGTGAATGTTTAAAAAGTGCCTACATTCCATACGGTATTTTGTTTTTGGTGTATTGTTGAATTATGGGTTTCTAATAAATTATGTAAAAAAACTGATATTTGATTTTGAGAATAAAATGTTATACAAGTACCTAGATATTTAAATAAAAACATTTATTTAGGAAGAAACATGACTATAATACAACAAAACAATATAATACACAGTTCGTTTTAGAAATAAATGCATGTAACCTTTGACCGAATGCGCCGCATCTTTCCCATACAAGAAAATCTACCAAATTCAAACCTGTCAGTACTAAATCATTGACAAAATAGTTACAGTAATGGAACGCATCAAGGATAATTTACATTTCAAAAACACCTAAACATAAAAACAAAGGGAACAAAAATGAAGCGACATAACCAAAAAATGAAGCGACATTTATCCAAAAATGCAGCAACATTTAAACAAAAATGCAGCAACATTTAAACAAAAATGCAGCGACATTTAAACAAAAATGCGAGACAAAATAATAACAATCATGTACCTTGATCTATTTATTTCTACCTTATAAAATATCGATCATAACTTACAAGGGTTACATAGAGACCTCGTATAAAATTAGTTTTGTTCTTGTTCTGAAGACAACTACTTAATTTACAATGTAGAGGTCGTAAACACGCATATTGAACCAAGAACTAATGTCTTGGATACGGTATAGACATATAGTTTATTTTGTATACGAACAAATCTGCATATCTGACTATCAATAGTCCTTTCGCAAACTTGGTACGATTGAGCTTTAAGAACTTGTTTAAACATCTATTACAGAATCAATTACATATAATTACATTCCTAAATACCTATTACTAGAGACGAACTTACAGCTATTTATATAGAGTATAAGTTCGACAGTCATACAAATGAATATTTTGGAAGGAACAAAACTAATTTTAAACTTGTAGGTTTACACGACGGAGAATTTGTTCAAATCTAGGAGGGTGAGCCTCTTCGAGACATACAAAGTAAGGTATCTTAATACAAGAATTTTGAGGTCCTCCTTCAAACTTAACACAAGTAATTATATTTACCAAACAACGGCATACATGGCCCTTTAAAGACAAATGTACCGACCCAAACAAATCTTCGCCGTGCACAAAAAGGTAACAAAACCAACAGAACCTTTGTCTTCACTAGCGCAAGAACATTCCTATTTATAAAAAAAGCAATTTTCAGAATTAAATAATAAAATAAAAATTTGATATGCAATTAACCCACGCATCTTCCGAATAATATTATGTCTCATACCAGATTTTGGTTTAGAATACCTACACAATATTAGTACATACATACAACATACGAATATCACAATAAGAGTGGGATATACGCGTTTACTTCGAACGATAAGTCGAATGTGTCTCATCGTGATTACCTAGTTGCCCATTATTGCATACACAGTCTTACAGTACGTGTTCAAGTTCTAATAGAATCAGAAAAGAAGGAACAGATACAATAAATATATGTTTCATCAGTCAAAAACATTAAGAAATTTCAAGAAAACATCAATTTAGTTATCGTAAATTTTCGATAAACAGAAGTTATCAAAGTAACGGCGACTAGTTACAAATGTAACGTCACAATCTTGAGTGCAACGAACCCGGACGCGTACTGAACAATTTGAGCATTACAATATGTCAAAAATGTGACTATTATTAAACATTCCTTCAACTTAACACTACACAATTACACATAGAGGGTTATTATCGTGTCTATAAACATCAACTGCTAATTTGTAATTCATTAAACTGGAGTGTAAAGAAGCAGGTCCAAGGTATAAGGCGTTAAACTATAGAGGCTAGTCCTCTCCAACAGCCTTATTCACCTGGATTCGGATCAAGTAAACATTCAATTGACATGCATATAATTTTAATGGAATATTGACACAAATTGAACATCACGGACTTCTATTATGGTTATTTCGTTATATCTACCAGCTACAGATCATTATTATAGTTCTACATTATGGAACAAAAATCATATTGCAATCGTCCAGCGATTACAAACGACGATATTGCAACTCAAATGAAAGGGAACCTTATTGTACTATAATTAAGTACAAAACTAATTACCCTGTTGCCAGGGTGTTCTAAGTCTGGATATCAGTCACATTGCGGCTTCACCCACTGATCTCGTATGATGGATAAAACACTAGGATGTCAATGTGCACAGCGACTAACCAATGTTTGCTGAATCAAGACAATTTTGATTCAAATATTGGGACTAATGTGTGAAGCCATAGCTCTTAACCGTCATGGTATTTAAAAATAGATAATTCCGTACGCTGAGCAATCACACTACAAACTTATCAACATTTTCACCATAAAAATAATGTCATAAAACGATTTAAAATAAATTAAAATAATTCTAAAATGTCGATTGGTCTGACCCATTAATATTTCCCGCATATATAGCTGCGTATGAAAAGTTTTGCGATTGCTGACTGAATGGAATTACATAACTTCAATGAGTAAGTACTGCCAGTACTTTGTATCATTTGTATATACAGTCAAAGGTCAAAAGTCCACCGTGAGTGATGTTCACACGTAAGTAATTTCATATGAATGTGCATAAAAACGCGTGCGTACGCATAAACACACACGCGTACGCACACGGATACAAATATGCGTGTGTATAAGCGCTGTAGCGCAACCGATAGTAGTCTTACGGTGGCAATGGACTTTTGACCTTTGACTGTACGTTGGAATACATAATTTGCTCAAATTTCCTTTAGATTGGACAGAAGTATTCGTCTGGATCAGATACTTACATTGGTCATTAAGTTATATGAGTAACACGAGTATATTATGTGCATATTGTGTGTGTACCTTGCTCGTGTATTATGTACATGTTCCACTACCAACCGCTCGAAACTTCGACGCGGTAGTTACGATGACCTGTCAAACGCGTATAGACATTGAGTAATGTGCAAATAAAGTAATCAACCAATCACAACCCATATGCCTGTTAACCAACCCTCTGTAATATTAAGAGAGACCCACCAAACTGATCTACAAATTGATCGTAACTTTAACACATTTTAGTGACAACTAAATAATTCGATGTTAGTAATTTAATGTGTGAAAATTTCCGACCATGCCTCCTTGGCTTTGCCAATATATTTGATCCACCACTGTCATGGTGACAAACATTCTTCTACACTCATTCCATACTTCATTTGCGTACTACTCCATGGCAATCCCAACAAGATGTTACTAACTATGTATATGAGAGCACTAACGCATTTTATGCATTAACATCGTTGACGAAGAGTACGTCGCGGTCCTTTAGTCCGACGTCCATGAGGCTGTCGGCGCCGCGCGCGAGGACACGTTTGGGGAAGTTGGTCGTGATTTCAAACTCCTCGGGGGACTGTGGGTGACTGAACACGAAGTCATATAGATCCTGTAGACAATAACACAAGTCTTATGTAATTTGTAGAAGTACACAAAACATTTTATGAGACCTAACATATAAGATTGGGTTTGCAAGATATGTCTTAAACTGTTGCTTTGATTGTGGTTGATTCACAACTTTAACGTAAATTTTAAGCTTAAAATTGGATTGATGTAAAATAGGCCTTCTTACATAGCTGACACAACAAAATGATGTATCCACAAATAGTATAAGGTCAAGAACAAAAAAAAAAGGTTCATAAAACATACCTGCGTAGTGTGCGTGAGTGTGAAGCGTCGAGTGAGCCTCTCTCCCCCCGGCAGTCGTATGAGCAGTACTACAGTACCGGAGCCGGCCGCCGGCTCGGGAGACAGCCGCGATGCCATCGCTTGGCGGGCCTCCACCAGCTAAGTATTGAGAGTATTATATTCATTATTCATACATTCATTGAAATCCCATTAGCATATTTTTAGGCATATTATGACATTTTTGTTTTAGTCTAAATGTTTTATTGATAGTTAAACTTCATAACAGCTTATACACATCATTTCTTTAAGTATTTAATCACAAAACATTTCATTAACGGAAGCCTAACTCATTATAATATCAACATTTGCATTTTTAATCATAATAATGACTTAATGTTTAATGTTATTATCATTAACAATATTCTATTGAATAAATATAAGTTTGGGACAAACATTAAACAACAATTAAAAGTTGGTCCGTTACTTTGTCTTTCTTCTCGTCTTAAATAAATTAACTAGGCTAAAATCAAGAACATGGTCACGTCACACTTACGTCCAGTTTGTGACGTTCTTCCTGCTGGCGCCGCTGCAGGTCCTGATGCTCGCGGAGTTCGCGGGCAGCTCGGTCGGCGGCGCGGCGCCGCTCCTTCTCCTGGTCGGCGGCCAGTGACTCCGCGTACGCCTCGTCCTGAGCTGCGCGCAGACGCGCTGTCACTTCACGCTCCACTCTGATGAAAAAACAATCCATCTTGATATGTGAGATATGAGTATAGAAATTACATATATTTTCTTCGTTATATCTGTATCTTGAAATAATACTAAGTGGTAAATCATGTTGGTAACATAAACACCATCTATTATAACTCAACAACAACATGGACATGTTGTTTGGTTTGTAGGATTTGTCTCCATCTCGGACAACAGAAAATCTCAACAGCAGTCCCAAATATTCAGTTGACACAATACAAAATTTACCAGAACAGCTAGTTTTAGATATAATAAAGCACAAACAGCATACCTATCAGCCCTGGCAGCTGCTAAATGTGGTTCGTTATCAGTGACGACGCGGCGCAGGCGCTGCAGCAACTGGTGTGGGCTGCAGGCACCTTCAGAGCGCGCCACCACCGTCATGCGGTGCTCACGGACACAGACTACGCAGAGCAGAGGGTAGCGGCGCCCGCCCACTGACTGAGCCACGCGCCAACCCTCGCCGCTCTCCACTGAGCAACCCCAGAATAGGGCATGTGTGTTTATGTACTGGATCACCTCTGGATCTGCCAGGGTCGTCCTGAAAACATCATGTTTTCAAAAAAATGCTAAAACAAGTCTCAAGCTAAAATATTCAACCTTAACTTCATTGATGCGTGATTCATAGTATTGGGAATCCATTACAGTTAGATATGTTAATTTCATTGTCACAAAAATTAAGGTAGCCTAGTTGTGGTATTTTTTTTTTAATTGTCTGGATCTTTCTTTCTTTTGATCACTTTATCTCAGTTAACTTTTAAACTTATTTAATTTGTTGTAATGAAGTGAGATTTCTAGCAACTTACCTGCAGAAGTTTTGTGTCTCTGAAGCTGACTCAGAGTGTAGGTATACAACGAGGAAGCGCAACTCGTTTTTGGCATCATTAAGGGCCTGTGCATATGTGCCCTGGTAAAATACAGGGTGTGGGTTGAAACGGGAGGTGTAGTTGTTGATGAATCCCATGACGTCGCCTAATGGGTCAGTCACCACTAAAAAAAATACCATGTTATGTTAACTAGGTTATAAACACAAATTCTACACTATTCTAGAACAATACAATAAAACAAGCAAGAACTTTGCTTTGAATTACTGAGGTCAGTAGAAATACTTTCACTTTTACCAAACAACAATTTTTAGAAATAATACCACACTTACAGGTAAAACTTTTACAGTACAGGGCATTTATAGGTTATTATTGAAACAATAAGGACAGCATAAAGAAATAAACTGTAGTAATACTCACGTCTCCTGTCATCATTGCGCACAAAACTGAGGAGCAAGTTAAGCACTGATGTTATTGTGCTATAACAAACAGATACTACAAGGTTGACTACATAGCGGAACAGTCCCCGCACACCACCGGGGCCCTCTGGAGGCTCATCTGTGAACACTTGCTGCGCTATGTGATCATGTACTACGGGAGGCGCGCGAGCCTCTGTAGCAAACACCGATGGTCGACCCTCTCTGATATTCAACTGTTCCTGTATCGCCACCTACGAAATATTGACAGAAACACATAGCTATAATAAATATTAAATTAAAAATAAATAGAAATACATAGAATATCAAGTTAGGGGGCAACTTTTTAGTACCCAAGTGAGTATTATGGGTAAGCTTATCTTTGACTCCGCCATACGGAAACATCGAGTGACATATAAACTTATAGATATAGACATTACCTCCAAATCCCACTGATGCCTTTGTAGAACATCTCTGCATATTGACATATCTTCTATTCCAGTTAAATCTTGAAATTGAAGTATTTTGTCCGTCTGTTCGTGGGTTAAACCCATTGCATTGTCCTCAAGATCCATTGCCCTAGATTTGATACCTAATTATTTATATATACGAAAATCAGTCACGCCAGCTAACACGAGTATAAGCTCATACAATCTTATTAATACATATTAACACGAACTTGAACGAAAAAATGTTAAAACCAAAATGTTTTGCATCAAATTGCTACTCATTGCCTACAAGAGCGACATTTCAGACGTCATGTCATCTATGAACCATAGACAAAGTAGGTGAATGATCAAAGACAATGATTGAAGTTGAGGATGAGAAAGTGGACGGAACGACACAGATAAAACATAACACTTTTCTTCAAAAACAAAATATTATACCAGGTGACTTGTAACTCGATGTGTTCCTCTCGGGAAGTGATAATAAGTTCAACTAATTTTCTACAAAAAATAGCCCTGAGGTCCCTAGTCCCTAGTCCTCAAGTGGCTAGTTCCTGAGATATTCAACAATTTCGGTTTTGGTGAAAAGATCCTGATCGTTAGATCGACAAAAACATAAATAAAAAACTACGGATTTGATATAAGTGATTTTAGTTTTAATTTGTTTTCAATACATCAATAAATATTTATTTATACTAAAACTTAAAAACATCATGCGTTTTATTTAAAAATAGCTAGTAAATTGGTATCAAATGTTTTAAGTCTGTTATTTGGTCAGCACAAAACTGGTTTAAAAAAGCCGACGACAGATCATTCCACAGTTTTGCTGTGCGAGGCAGGAATAAGTAGGTACAGTGTAAAAGAAAACGGGCTATTTCAAAAACATCATTATTTACAGACTTTTGTTCAAAGTGACCTTCCTTAAGATGAATACATGCCATGCAGCACACGCTTCTTTATCTCTTTTATGGTCACTCTTGAACTGAATGAGCGCCTTATTTCTTCAGCCACTTTAATTTATAAATTGTATAAGATCCAAGCTTTCTTATGCGAATTAAGGACGAAGGTTATGTTACAAACTATCACATTATCTATAGTGGGACGCTGAGGATGTGGGAGACTGTGGGAGGCTGATTGAAATGATGATAGAATGAAAATTGCGGCAAAATAGCTTTATAATATTTATATCACCCTTCAAAATTAACTGTATTGTATGTTTCTATAGTTGTACTATGTAGTACGTTTTTAGGTTCATATTTTATTAATATCTTTGAACATCTCGTACAGTCGTAAAAACTGAAAAGCTTATAATTAAAGTAATGACTATGACATACATATTAGAAATAAATTAAACCATTCATTTAAATTCCAATACGTAATATAATAAAACAGCATACAATTTTGTCATTTTTTCTTTTTTTTGCCTTTTGCTGGTGGAGGAGGTGGAGGAGGCGGGGGAGGCGGTGGTGGTGGAGGTGGAGGTTCAATGACCGGCTCTGGGGGCACAGATGGGTCTTCATCGGGATCTTCATACAAATAATCAGTCTGAAATTTTAGTCATAGTAATGGTTTAGTTTGTCTGCTTTTCGTAATAACAAAATATAATTTGTCATTTTGATGATTGGTTTTAAACATTATGTGGTGCACCAACTATACCTTTAATCCGTACAATTCTGGAGCTAAATTGAATAAGCTTTCTATAAAGTCCCAATAGAAGACATGTCCATCCCCACGAACATTGGCGTCACGCAATATTTCCACTGCCTCAGCTTCCGTGTATGGTTCATCACCGTAAGCCGTCACTATTTCTCTGATTTCATCAACTTCTAAATAGTGTCTCTTTTCTGTGTCAAATACCTAATTAAGGTACATATTTACAAATAAGCATTTGGTATAATAATATTGGTATAATACTAATATTGTTCAACCGAATTTTGAGCCGGTATCATGCAACGATACTTAAGTGGAAGCGGCAGTTTCTACTTAAGCATAGTCGAAAAGAGATGCACACTGTTGAATGTACCGAACGAATGCACTAATTTGCAATTCTTTTGAACTGTAAGTAAAATACTTGAGATTGAGAATGACAATAGATCTCTATTTGACTATCGTACCATAATACCAAAAGATTCTGGTCAAAACACACCTAACCTACCTGAAATGCGAGTTCTAATTCGTGTCTTATATCAGGTTCTTGTACCCATATGTTCAACATGTAAATAAATTGATCCTTTGTTAACATTCTAGTGACTCCAGCATGCAATTTTTCGGCTTCAGTCATAATTTCGAAATAAGTCGGATATTTAAAACTTCTTCTGTGGAATCTAAAAAAAAACAGTTATACTTATGTTTCTTTCTGTTAATTTTATTATTATTATTCTAATAACGATAATATTATTATAAAGAAAAATATTTTTGTTTTAACTACAGTGTGAGTGGTACTATACTTCTTTAATTCCAAAAATGATACGAATTGTTCGATAGTTACAACGTTTGTCGGTTCAGGGGCATCGTTTATTGTTAGTAAAGGTTTTGCATTTTCATCAAACCATTGCACCATATCTTCAAGCTGTTCTTCAGTAAACCGCGGAGTTACTTGTGCAAGTGGGTTTAAAGTATCGAAAACAGACATTTTGGGTAATTTTGATGTAAAAAATATTAAAAAAAATAGTAAACTCAAGTAATATACGCGATAATTAGTGAAATGACAGTGACATACTATTATGAATTAATAAAAAAAGACTTGTAACTTTTTTCAGCCCAAAACCAGCCATGGTCTCCAACGTTTTAAAATTTTTACTCGGCAACATTGAGAAAAAAAATTGACAAAGAAAACAACAGAGAAGTGACATTCAGCATTGCAGCTTATGACTTTTATATGTGCCACTGTCACTGTCACTTTGATTAATGACGTCTGACGTTGACGTTTGTGTAGTGCGGGGTTAGCTTGTTTGTTTGATTGAAGTTGGGTTGAATAATTTTGAATTTGAAAGAAAATAATTATAATAGGATCGAGTTTTCTTTTGAGTAATTCTCTGTTTCATATGTATATTTTATTATTGGTATAGGAAGTGATATATGATTTCGGTTTCCTCACATCTACATTCTACATTATTATGTTTGAATCAGACGATTATGACCAGGTATGCATTCAATAAACCAACAATTCAATTATAGTGTTTGTTCATATTGAAATCATTGATTTTTCTATATCTTTTAATATATTTTTCCCGTAGGTATTATCTCAATTTGAATTTCCCGAAGATGCGTTAGTAGTAAACAAAAATAATCCGGCGAAAAATGATAATGTGGAAACTACCCAAACGAATGGTGGACAAATTTTGAACTTGAATGAGGATGTTCCTAGTAATATTGAAGTACTTGTGAGGAATAATGAAAATATTCCAAATAACAGCAAAGAAAATGTAGTTAGGAATGCAAACAGTGTAATATCACCAAAGCATACAAAGAGAAAAATGATCAATTCATACTTTGATCATAAAAGTAAACGAAAGTTCCCTGGTCCAGCTGGACTTCTCAGTGGAGGATTTGAAGAAAATGAAAATATTTGTCAAATTGAACTACTTTCACAGGTAAAGAGTTCTTAAGGTCCTTACAATAAATGCAATTTGTGAACATATCTGTTAATTACCTAAAAATGTTTTTATACTTACAGGATGTTGATTTCACTCAAAACAATTTAAGAGGAGACTTATTTGAGTCTCCTTTGTGGGTGAGGTTATTAGACGATTTGAAAACTTGGAATTTACATGATGTAGATTCAATAAAAATGGTTAAACAGCAAGCGATGTCTGGAAACTTGAGAAGAAGGAAAGCTCATACAATTACTGCCTTTGTTGAGACAGTGGATAGATCAGCCACAGACCCACTGATTATTATGAGGGATACCACAGGTAACTTAATTTAGTATATCCTCTTTACTTTTTTTTTTTTTTTTTTTTTACCGAAATTATTTATTAGTATAATTAAAACTAAAATATTTACACCTTAAAAATAATAATAATGAAAAAATAATAATACCTAATGAAAAAATAATAATAATGAAAAAAATAAAAAAAAAATTATAAGGCATCAAAGAAAATATTTTCCTCATCACTACCGTGAGGTAGGGTGCCCAAAAGACTGGCAGCATTGCCACGTTGAATGGCAATGCTTAACCTTTGCCCAAGGTAGTAGCCAGCCCTTCGATCACCTGAAGTGTCAACCATCCTCCTTACAATATCTTTGTAAAGAAGATGTGCACTTGGGCCCCACGGCCCTAAAGTTTCAACCCCAAACGGCTCGAAAGCATAATTGCCAATCAGGCTATTATACTTTCGCCGTTTGAGGTTCTCGGCAGCGGCAGCGGCAGCACCGGCTCGACACGCTGAGCTTGGAAGATGGGATGGCGCCAGAGTATCAACGCAAGTGGCGTCCCATACTAAAGCCCTACCCATCTTCCAAGGGAATAATGACATACCGTCGGGTCTCTTGCCATCGTCGCGTACCAAGCCATTAGGTTCTAAAGTAGCTGGCACGCCAACGGAGGCAAGAGCTCGACGAATTATGTCATTAATACTTGCGTGTCGAGCAAAACGGCCCGCACTACGGCTACATGACAAGCCGTGGTGTCCAAGGCTGTTGACAACTTCACCACAACGACAACGATGAGGTGAACAAAATGAAGCTCCAAGCCTTAAACAAATTGCAGCGCGGAACGTGGTGTCGTCCAACAAAGTACCTAGGTTAGACGAAGGTAAAGCAAGAAGCCATAACCCCGACTCCCACTCACCCACAGCCAAAAGGCGAGCTCTCTCTGCAGTTGAACAAGAGGAGTTCAAAAGATTTTCGCTCACTTTTCTGCAGAGCGGCTCGTCCCATTGTCTCTGGGAGAGTGATTTGACAGGGGGGTCAATATTTGGGCAAGCGATTTTCCAAGCATTCACAGCTTCCACTAAATATGGTACATCAAAATTAACCAGTGATTGAGAAAGAATTTTCCTGGTTAATTCTTTAGTACCATGGGCGGAAGATATGAAAGCCGGTAGGCTTACACTGGAAATTTTACGGACGCCAAGCCCACCCATGCGGACAGGCAGAGTGGCTTGTGTCCAAGCTCGGTCATCAAGAGCCACATTCAAAATTAAGGACAGGGTTCGCCTAATAATTTGGTCAATTTTTTCTAAAAGAAGGGGTGCAGACCACAGGTGGGTCGACCGCAAAAAGTACATAAATTTGGGACCAAAGCAACAAAACCGAATAATAGTATAAGCCGAATGCATTCTAATGTTACATAGTTTTTCTGAAACGACAGAAAAATTTTGAATTTTTTCTTCAATAAAACTTGGAAAAGAGTCCTCGAAGACGGGCGCACCTAGGAGGCGAAGTGAACACTTATCAACCACCGAGATATTGGGCGCAAAAGTATTAAATTTTGTTATGGTCTGTCTGTCGGTAGAGTCATCTAAAAATATCTCACATTTGGAAAAATTTAGGTCAAGGCCAATAGCATGAAGTTCGTTTTTTAATAATATGAAGTCATTTAATACTGTATCGGCATCGCCTCCCAGGGTACCGTCATCGAGGTACCAAACATTAAATTTGGAATTTAGCTGTCGAATAATAGGATTAATAGCCAGGCTAAAAATCACTGGTCCAAGGGGATCGCCTTGTTGACAGCCAACGGCTGATTCCAAAAGGTTGCCCTGATATAATAATTTGGTAGGATGTCTATAACATTGCCAGAGAAAACTGAAAATTTGGGGTACTTCTTTTTAACTTCTGTCAACATAGTATCCCTATTGACCGAATTAAAGGCATTCTTTATGTCAACCTTCAGGATGATATCACCTTTCCTAGAATTCAGATAGGTCGACAACGCATGCACGGCAGCCTCGCAGCCCCCTCTCGATCCATACCCGAGTTGAAGGGGCTGGAATTTTTCCGAAAGGTGATTATTATAAAATTTGCAACAAATCTTGGCTGCCATGCGACGATAAGTTGTTCCCACAGCAATGGGACGAATACCGCCATCCTTCTTGCGAAGGGCACATAAATTGGCCCCGTACAAAACGTCGATGACAGATTCGTGCACATTGCCGGAGAGCATAAGATTGAGCAAAGCCGTAAGCTCCTTCAGCAGCGTCACGCCGGACTCCCCGGGGCTTGAGCTCGTCAGATCTTTGAGATGCTGCGGCGTCAAACCGTCGAGGCCTCCGAGAACCGGTCCGGAAGGAGCCTATGGCAGTGACCACTTGTCGACCTGTAACAGATAGGGTATGAATATCTGCTTCTGGAGGATCCGGAAAAGAGAGACCATCTACTGGGGCCGGTGTTTGCTCTCCAGAGCTTTAAGCGTATCTGGAGAACATGGGGCCAGTACGTCGTTGCTGAAAATAATCCTGGCTGCACCGCTGATATCACCTTCACCTATTTTGGCCTCAACTAAATCCGCTAAAGTTTTGGTTGAGGCATAGCTGCAAGCCGGTAATTTTGGGTCGAATTGGGAAGCCGAAATGCAATTTTCTTTAATTTGTTTGGTTAAAGAATTTTGAAGAGCCAAATTCTTTTTGACGTGTAAGATTTGGTAAGGGAAGGTGAGAAGTTGTTCCCAAGCGCGTAACGAGTTCTCCTGTGTTGCCAGACGGACATAATTTGCTAATTGTTGCGCAGCTAAAGGTCTGGCACCACGGGGAACACGTTTAAGCACAGGGATAGATTTTTTAAATTTTGATAATCTTTTCCAAAAGGGGTCTGTCAAAATAGGAGGAGTAGCGAGCCTGGGAACATAGCGGGCATCTATCCTCTTTACTGAATTTATAAATCATAGACAACTTAAATACATCAACTTCTTTTATTTACATTGTTGTATGTTTTGAATTTATTTGTTCTTTACACCAGTTTTTATTTTGCTATTCATTATAATTAAAATGTTTTTTTTTTTCAGGAAATATAAAAGGCACACTTCATAGAGATGCATGGTCATCATTTTCAAAGTACATAGCTTCAGAATACTGTGCCTTTATCTTATGGAAGCCCACAATACTTACAACAGGCAGTGCTTTCAAGAAGCATTATCTTAATATAACATTAAGTAATATATTAGCTGTGTATAGCTCTACAGTACTGGCTGATGATGCAGAAGCTAAACCTTTACCTGATGGATATAAAATTGTTTATGAAGAAGACTATACTGTGATAAAAACTGAAAAGAATTTAAATAACATAGGTGAGCTATCAAAATATGAATGAAAAAATATTAGCCATGTATTTTTTACTTTGTCGTATAAGAAAACAATAGTTAGATAAAACGAATCAAAGTTTAGGAGTGGGTGGATGTGCCGTCATTTGTTTTATCTAAGTTTAGGAGCGGGTGGATGCGCCGTTATTAAGAGTATAAATCATACTCAAAAGTGACATCATGCGATATTTCAAATAAATATATATTTGAAACTGATTGTTTCCGTAAGAAAATAAATAATGAATTAAAAAATACGTGTTTAAAGTTTGTAAATAATCTACCAGATGGACATTAAATGATAAACTTGTCAACCACCCTTTTGAATTTTAAATCGAGACCTTTAAGGTCTATCATTGAATGTGTGACTTAAATAGTTTCTATGGTGTAATATTTAAATGTTTTTTGTTCCAGGTACAGATGAAACAGTAACAAATGGTTTTGATACCAATGCCACAGATTTACTAGATGAACTGGATACTATTTTTTCTGATGATGTATTTTAATGATTAGCTTTATGGTCTACCTCAAAAATAAACCTTATCCTTTACGACAATAGGTAGCTTATAGTATTATTGTCTTGATTGTTTGAATTTTTTATTAATGATTTATTGAATAATTGTTGGTGCTATTGTGTGTAGCCTCAATTGATACATATTACAATGAATATAACTGTTTGTGATTATTCTATGGTAAATATAATAATGAAACAATATTTTTAGCTTTCATTTTTATTTGCTTTCACTTTAATATGTCTAGTAACTATGTGTTTCGAAAGAGAAGCTGAATGAAAGTAAGTGCTTGGACACATTTTACACTTGAATATTTTTGCAGGTTTCATTTTTGGGTCTAGACTTTGTTTAAGTACTCTGGTTGTTTGAAGAATCTGTTGTTTTGTACCTAGATGTGATTTCATATGCCTTTGTATGTTGCTCAGCTTCGTGAATGTTACCTGTAAAGAAAATAGAAGCAATCTTAAATTAGTTATGGATTTTGTGCTAGAGTAGTGGATATGTCAGTCACCAATAGTGCATAGTCGTGTGGTAGAACTGAACACCTTAGCAGTAATGACATAAGAATAAAGTAGCTATAAATAAAACCTGCTAGGATAAAAATCATTATCGTAACCTACTAATAAACTTTAAAACAAAATTATTTACATAAAGATTCTGTGTGTTTTGCCACAAATGGTCATTATAACATCACGCCTTCTATCCCCGAAAGGATAGGCTTTTATCTCCGAGGTGCACATTACGGCACTCAATGCCACTGTACAATAAACACCCACTTTTCACTATTTATGTTATGAGTCCCATGTAATAGGGGGTAAGTCTATTGCCATAAACCGAGCGCAAATCCAGACTCCGTGCTAATACTGAGATTAAAAAAAAACAGTTATACTTTGGTTGACCCGGGAATCGAACCCGAGACCCCTTACCAGGCCAACGAGGCAAGCAGTAATTATATAATTTTACTTACATTACACTGTGCACAGGAGAATACAGTTTCTTTGCCAGTTTTGACGATAATGACGTCATCATCGTTGTCCGAATTAGTATTATTAGTAGTATCGATAGTCAACATATCATCGGTGTTTATACAGTTCTGAAACAATATTAAAAACATCAGACAAATGATCTAACATACGATCACGACTTTGGCCTGAAGAGCACATGCAACACTCAAATGTGTTTCATGTAAAAAGAGGCGAGCTTATATAGGAACCTCCAGATTCCGAGCTTATTTGAATATTACATACGAAGCAAAAATAATCTACCGGTCTTGCTGAACATCGATGTTCAGCCCTTGCAACACAACCCATAAGCAGGGGCGTGCACAGAGATTTGAAGTAGGGTAGGCAGAAGGTATCACATGATTAAAAATAAATTTGGTCTAGGTACATTAATCTCGGAAAATAAAACTCCCGAAACATCATAGTTTTGAGTAGGTAATTAGGTTTAGGAAGTATTTTATTAATTTGTATAGACAAATTTACATAATTATTTTAAAACTATCCGTGTATAAAGTTGATCAACATATATCTATCGGTATCTATTTTATAAATCTATTAACTAGGTACCTACTTTGGAGCGGCGAAGTACAAATGGCTACACATCAAGCTATGCGACACCAGTATAACTGACCGTTAAATGCATAGAGAAATCATACAAAGCGAGATCAAGATAGACTGGATTTTAAAAACAATAATTAAATTGGTACACAACCAGTGCTAACAAACTATACCTATAATTGCAAATCGTAGTTTATTAAAAGAAATAATGAAATTATTACCTTTTTTGAGTTACGCCTAGCCCGGACATACGACACACGCAAAATCGCCTTTGGAAATATTTTCGTTTCTTCTTCAAACGAAAATAACGACAACGCACTCATATTGAATTTATTGAACACGACAAATCACCAGCACAGAGCTCACAGCTATAATTTTACATAATTTTCGGTAAATTAACAGTTCATTTAAATTATAATTCATTACATTACAATTTATTCACTTGCACATAAAAACATAACCAAAACAAAATGGCCAAAAAAACGTAAACAATAAGTTGACCAAAATTAATATATCTATTTTCAATCAACAAACGCTACGTTTTGTTGACTTCTTAAATTAGTCGGATAACGAAGAAGCAGTGCTTTTGCAGTTGTATAGAAATTACCAACCTAACAAAAAAAAAATCCAACATCAGCACGAGAAAACAAGCAAATTGTACCGGCTATCATTAGTACATGCTTCCGCCACCATCACACAATAGCGAGGTGGCGGCGCCACTGCCGCAATGCTCCAATATCGAAGAAAGTAGAAAGTGGTTGTAGTACTTCAATATTTTTTCAATAGATGGCGTTAGTTACAAGTTTTCCGAATTAAGTATCAATAAAATTACGAAATCTCTGTATGATGTCAGTAAATATTCATGTCGTGTATATGAGTGACACTATGTAATTGACTATGTAGGTTTACCATGATTTTGTAGGGTATGCAGTGCTTATTTGCATGTATGGTGTGCACGCCACTGCCCATAAGTAATGTAATGACTGTCAAAATAATATTTAATAACATAATAATCTAAAGTTGATTGATTCTTGAAGATTTTAAGTTGTTTTGATGGTAGTATAGAAATGTTATCTACCTCTTGGTGTTCTTTCAAAGTTTGCTCAGTTTTGAAGAGGGCTGCACAAGAACTGCATCCGAATACAGTGGTGGGGTAACGTTTTTTGAGATCAAACACCAAATTCACAGGCAGTTCTGTAAAGTAAAAACTATAAGTTAGATCCCGAAAATATGTTGTTAAAAAAACAGTTGTAAGTAAAAAAATGCATAGAATGTCCATTATGTATTTAAGAATCTGGTCTTATACTATTATTCAAAGCTGAAGAGTTTGGGTGAACGCGCTAATCTAAGGAACTACTGGGTTTGGCGATTGACGTTGTGGAAACGCTTTCAATCGGTATGATGGAATAAATAATTATGTTACTTGGCTACATACGAATTTTCTTTTGACCACGTGACTTAGTGTTGACGTGATGTCATTCCCATACATTATCATACTTTTCTATTAACGATATCGTTTGTAGAATTGTAATTTGGCAACAAATTCTTTGTTGTCGGTCAGTCCATTTATCGAGGAATGCTGTTAGGCTATAAACATCACTACGATCGATAGGAGCCGAGGAAAGCGGGTGACCGGCGCGGAAGTAGTTATATTTAATAAGATTTCAAAGTAAACTAGACTGTATCGTGTAGGTCATAAGGCTTATTCTCGTAACTGCTCAACTGATTTTCAGCCACTGCAGGGACTAGTCGCTCTTGGAACAATAACGTAAACTTAATGAAGTAATGCTTAATTCACTTACTAGTGCTAAATAACTATGCAAAACTAGACTTTGTGTGTAAAGATATTGAGTATATTTTAAGAATAACTTACGTCGTTTATTTAATGTGACGGAGACCCGGACTACATTATCAGAGCACTTCGTTTCCGTAATGTGGATGTGGTAGATGGTGAAATTCTCCTTGGCTTCTTTCTCTTCGATGCAGCTGTATACCTCGTCGCTTTGTGAAACGTTTCGTTCTTCTATAAATATCATAATAAATCAGTTGTTATATTAAAATCCGATGAGACAGTAATAGAATTGAAATAAAAAATGTTTTGAGTGTCATGGAAATCTCAATATTACGTTTATAAGGTCCAGTTAGGTTCTTACACTGTAGTTTTGTACTTGTAGAAGGTGTAGTAGCTCACAGAAAAGATCACATGATCACAAGTTATAGTTGTTAGTTGCGTATATTAAGTATTATAGTATTAGTATTTCTTTGCTTAACGTTGGTTGGTAGATAAAGTACTACTACTACGATTACTGTAATACGTTAAATCAGGGTTACTCAAACTTTTGGTACCACGTACCCCAGTTAAAATTTTCAAGTGACAGCGTACCCTTAACTAATTAATTGCTCCCCCCCCAAAGAAAATAATAAAATTGACTATTCGAGAAAATAAGGTTTTTATTTTAAATAAAAGGTAACAAACATAGTGCCAAAAGAAATGTCTTTTTAATATTAATGTGATGGATGTGCTTGTTTCTTGTCGCAAACAGGATTCAATTTTAGGTGTAATTTTGGTCAATTTTAACATTACGTTTTGTCGCGTACCCCTTGCCCTCGAATGACGTACCCCTAGGGGTACGCGTACCCCTCTTTGAGAAACCCTGCGTTAAATTATATATGCTATGCATTGGGTGACGCGCATTCAATATTGCTGCGTCGACTATACGTACTATGTACGGTTATGAAACCGTACAGTAATTCTCATCAATGATGACCAAAAACGCAACGCGTGCTGTATCGTTGGTCGTGTAATGCTGCTTTAACTATAATTGCTATAATCCCTTAGCGTAGTTTTAAACCAGGCAAGACGTGTTACCGCGTAACAACAACAAACAGTAGTATGTGTAGTATTATTTTTTCTTAGTACATAACCCGTCTAAATATTTCTTTTCATTATATCCACCCAAAGGTTGTCTGGTAGAAATCACTATAAGTGATAAGACCGCTTTTGTGCCCATTATTATTTTTATTTATATTTGTCATTTCTTTTTCTGTATGTACTGTATTATTAATGGTGTACAATAAAGTTATATTATATTCTATTCTATTCTATGTGTAAACCGTAAACAATGAAATAATTTGATGCAAAGAAATTAGGTAAGTCGATAAGAGAGGGAGAAGTGGATGAGAGATACGAGAAAAAGAAAATTACCTGCTTTCTGTTTAATAGTCTGGAGTAGATTAGGTACGTGTTCAAACCCTGGGGATCCTTCCTTGTCTGCCACACGCCCCGTTATAAACGATACTGAGCTTCTATTGTAAATCAAACCAAATTCATCCTTATTGTTCTTCGCCTGTAAAACATTGATGACACAACATTTTTATTAACGGAAAAGAATAGGCACAAGCATACAAATTCACATACAAATCAAGCAGACAACAATTTGTGAATTACATAAAGAATTGTTCCGTGCGGGGATTTAAATGCGTGTTTTACCAACCATGCATTTAAATCAGTCATTCAAATGCAAAAGGGTATTTTATTAGTATGGCAAACATCAATAGTCAGATTTGTTTATTTTAAAAATAACTTTTCCCCACACAAGGATTTTCTCCTGTGTCATGGGTGAGTTTACAAACTGAAGAGTCTTTGGGCACTTGGAACCCCGGGGAAAGGGCTGCAGTAAAAAAATCCCGTAACAGGTTTATTGAGAGACTGGCTCACACATGCAAGGTTCTACATACCTACCCACTTATTTCTATGAATATAAAATATAGAAATATAAAATATAAAATTACCTACGTCACACAAACATACAAGTTCACATACACATGCCACCCAGACCTGGAACAATAATCTGTGGATCACACAAATAGTTGCTCCGTGCGGGAATCGAACCCGCGACACGTTGCGCGGCAACCAGCCCTCGCATCAATCGTGCAGTCTTACTTTATACAATATTTTATACAGACACAGATTACTATTATACAACACATACCTTAGTTATAATCAAGTCGTATCCAACTAGGAAATGCTTCAAGTTTGGCATCTTAAGTAGTTGTGTGATGACACCCTCGGCGGATGCAATATCCTCTTCAGTGAAACTCGGCTGAATACCGGCTCGTAACGTTGTTTGGATGAGATTCACGAAGTCCATTTCATGTAGCCCTGTCACGTCTAAAAGTAAAAGTATTACAGTATAACTTCACATCAACAGCGTATAATGCCCACTGCTGAGCAAAAGGTTTGGTTGGCTTCTCACCATGCTCAATCAATGCGGGTTGGCGATTACAAACTTATAATTAGAAATTATAACCCTAAATTTCCTCACCATGTTTTCCTTCACCGTTTGTCAGTGGTGTCTAAATCACTAGTAAAAAACAAAGTCGCTATTCGCCGCCGTCTGTCTATCCCTATGTATGCTTAGATCTTTAAAACTACGCAACGGATTTTGATGCAGTTTTATTTTCAATAGATAGAGTGTATAATACATGCATATTGCACCCGTGCGAAGCCGGGGCAGGTCGCTATAACTTGGAGAAGTCACATTGCTCCTTGCCGTTGGGAGGTTTCGAACCCGCACACTCATGTGTGAGAAGCTGAGAACTCTAAGTCTAGAAGTCTTAAACATACGGGCCACCACGACTGGTTGGTATAACTTATATTTTCCTAAAACATTCACGTATTATGGCATAACGCCATTTCATGATTCGATCTTACGCATAGCAAGTTCTAAAACATTGTAAAGAACAAGATGGGAGTTCTTATTGGAGTGAAAATAAAAATAGATTAGAATAAAAGAAATCTAGAAGGAATTTCGTTATGCAATACCTATAATATGTGCCTTAAGATACTAACTATACTGTTGATTTTCCTCTACTTGTTTCAAAACTTGTTCATCTTCAGACTTTTCGGTCTTATGTTCACGGATGTTTGATTGTGGGTTTTTAACTTTAGCTACTAATCGCTTTCCATTGGCAGATTTTCCCAGTACGATTTTTTCAGGAATATCTGAAACAAATATATATATGATGAATGTTAAAATACTTTTGACAATTTCTCTTATAACTCACTACCCACTTCCGCGCAGGTTCACCCGCTCTGTTCAGCGCCTTTTTTTAACGTTGCCCCACTTTAGGATTTTCTCCTGTGTCGTGGGTGCGTTTACAAATGTACAAGTTCGCATCAACATCACACCCAGACCCGGAACCACAATTTGTGGACCACACAAAGAATTGCTCCGTGCGGGAATCAAACCCGCGACACGTTGCGTGGCAGCCGGTTGCCCAGCCACCGCACTAACCGTATTGGTCGTAGCGAGATGTTTTATTACAATACCCAAAAAGCAAAATGCTAGAAAATATGGAGAATATCGTATGATTAGTCTTATGAGCCATGTACTAAAAGTGTTCTTAACTCGTCGAGTACCGGTTTTATAGACACAATTAAAGAACAATAGGTCGCGGTCACCGGTGACCGCTTGGTGTTTGACAGTTTAAACATCATACAGAACAGAATAAGACCAAAATGTGACAAACATTTGGGAAACAGCCAGTTCGGATTTCGCTCCGGTGTCGGAACCAGGGAAGCTCTATTTGCTCTCAATGTTCTCGTACAGAAGTGCAGAGACATGCAGACTGACGTATTTCTTTGCTTCATCGACTATGAAAAAGCTTTCGACCGTGTCAACCACCAACAACTTATCAGCCACCTGTCAGATATTGGGCTGGATGGCAAAGACGTCAGGATAATCCGCAATCTGTACGACAAACAAGTAGCAACAATAAGAGTAGAAAATGAAGACACCGAGCCGGTTGAGATCTGTCGCGGAGTTCGACAAGGTTGTGTTCTTTCGCCGATGCTCTTCAATATTTACTCAGAGGCCGTGATGTCTGAAGCATTAGAAAACCTCGATGCTGGAGTAAAGATTAATGGCACGCTGGTAAACAACTTGAGATATGCAGATGACACGGTTCTTGTTGCTGCTTCGGAACGTGACTTACAGACAATTGTAAATAAAGTCAACGAGACAAGCGAGAAAGCCGGTCTGTCTATTAACATCAGTAAAACCAAGTTGATGGTTGTCTCCAAAAATCCTGATCTTGACCCAATTATAAACATAGATGGCAAACCACTCGAACGAGTACGACAATACAAGTATCTCGGTGCTTGGGTAAATGAAGTATGGGAATCAGATCAAGAAATTAAGACCCGGATAGAAATTGCCCGAGCATCTTTTAACAAAATGAGGAATGTTCTGTGTTGTCGTCAAATAAACATTAAGCTCAGAGTTAGGTTACTCTCCTGCTACATCTGGCCTCTAGTCATGTACGGATGTGAAGCATGGACCGTGAAGGAGGACACTGCGAGACGTATAAACGCATTCGAGATGTGGTGTTACCGTCGTATGCTCCGAATCAGCTGGACACAAAGGGTCAGCAACGAATCCGTGCTACAGCGCGTCCAAATGACCCGGAAAATTATGCTGTCCATCAAAAAGCGAAAAATCGAATATCTCGGTCACGTGCTTAGACACGATAGATATTCACTGCTTCAACTGATCATGATGGGCAAAGTGGAGGGGAAGAGACGTGCTGGGCGCAGAAGAAAATCGTGGCTGCGAAACATCCGGGAGTGGACCGGCATTACATCTGTCGAACAATTGTTCCGCATGGCTACCGACAAGGAGAAATACAAGAAGCTGACGGCCGACCTTCAACATTGAAGAGGCACTATAAGAAGAAGAAGAAGAGATGTTTTATAGCGATGAAGGGCCTTCTTCGATAAAGGACTATGTAACACACAAAGAATTTTTCAAATCAGATCAATAAATAGTTCTTGAGATCAGCGCGAAACAAACAAACCTTTTAGATTTATATAAAAGTACCTTTTTGGATAATCAATCACCGGTTAAGATATCTCTTTTTGGTGATTAGGTACAAAAGTATTAAACATTCCTGTGGACCATAAATCTTTAGTAATAAAGATGAAGAGGCTCATGATTGTGAGCCCCTGGCTTGACTATACAAAAATTCAGTACGGTATCACAGATCATTTAAGAACGAAATATAGTTTGTTTATATTAAAACTTTCGTGAGACATACTAATTAATTATTATGTTTTCTTTCGGCTTACACTATGGCTTAAAACTAGTCGAGTTCCTTGTCAAACAGTTACGTAAGTAAGCCGAAGACAAATAATAAATTATAGTTTGTTTGACCAATCTAATGCCACTGTACAATATACCACCCACTTCTGAATATTTATGTTATGAGTCCCATGTAACAGGGAAACGACCCTATTGCAATATTCGGGCACAATTCCAGACTCTGTGCGACTGACACTGTATTGTACAGGGACGTTAAGTGCCGTAATGTGCACCTCTGCCTACCCCTTCGGGGGTAAAAGGCGTGATGTCATTTATGAACAAGTTAATCATTGGAAGTAGAAAATAGTAGTTTATTTCCTTTATCATAACTCCCTTACCTTTGAATGTAAGTTTGGTTTTAATTTTAATAGATCGCGGTTCGTTGTCTGATTGATGAAGTGAAATGTTTGGTTTCTGTTGTGCAAGTATCTCTCTTATTAAAGAGTCGCTGGGATATTCTTCTTTCATAGTTACATTCTCGTATTTTTCTGTGGCTACGTCTGAAATTGTATTTTCAGGTGAATCTGTAAATAACAAAAAAATATATAAAATATAAACTATTCAAAATTGACTGCATAGCAAGATGGTTTTTAACGATTTTTAAAATTATGACATAACATAACATCACGCCTTTTATCCCCGAAGGGGTAGGCAGAGGTGCACATTAGTGCACTTAATGCCACTGTACAATGTAACACCCACTATTCACTATTTATAGTATGTTACGAGTCCCATGTAATAAGGTGTGAACCTATTGCTGTATACCGGATACAATTCCAGGCCCCGTGTTACTACTGAGATTAAAAAAAAAACCAGTAATACTTTGCCCGACCCTAAAGTCGAACTCGAGACCCTTAGCCTGGCAGTCGCACTTGCGAACACTCGGCCAACGAGACAGTATTCTGTAAACAATACTTCTGTGACAGACTACTAATATCACTGTAAATGGTAACTAACACCACTGTAAATGGTAGCTAACAACACTGTAAATGGTAGCTAACATCACTGTAAATAGTAGCTAACATCACTGTAAATGGTAGCTAACATCACTGTAAATGGTAACTAACACCACTGTAAATAGTAGCTAACATCACTATAAATGGTAACGAACGTCACTGTAATAAATGGTAGCTAACGACACTATAAATGGTAGCTAACACCACTGTAAATGGTAGCTAACTTCACTGTAAAAGTAGGCGGTTTATATAACCACCACTGCCACATCGGTTAGCAAAAAGGCTTGAACATTTTTTATATTTTACCTTTCTCATCGACGATTAACTGTACGCATTCTATGGTATCGCTTGGCTCGTCACTCTTTATCACAAACTCCACAGTATCTTGTTGACTGGAGAATGACTCTCCTCCAATGTGGGGGAACTGACCCGAAATACTTTCAATCTTAAGAGTTCTGTCGGACAAAAGAAGTTAATAATTTAATTACATACATACATAACATCACACCTTATATCCCCGAAGGGATAGGCAGAGGTACACATTACGGCACTTAATGCCACTGTACAATGTTACAGCCACTTTTCACTATTTATGTTATGAGTCCCATGTAATAGGGAGTGAGCCAATTGCCATATAGGCAAAATTCCAGACTCCATGCACTGTTTTTTTTTTAATTCTCTTTAGTACTTTGTCCGACCCGGGAATCGGACTCGAGACCCTTTGCCCGGCAGTCGTACTTGCGGCTACTCGGCCAACGAAGCAGTCATAATTTAATTATTCTTAACAAATCCAATAATAAGCAGCAATAGCAAGCAACATACATCAGGTTCAAGTCATGGGTCTGTCATAGTATTATTAGCAATTGGTCGGTTTTTGAAAACTAGTATGGTGTCTAAAATTATTTTAGGTAACCTGAGGATTTAGTACGAGTTTTTATTACTTTAACTTTCGTGAGACATATTAAATAAATTATTATGTTTTCGGCTTACTCACGTAATTATTTGAGTCCTCGTCAAATAATTACGTGAGTAGTTTCGACTAGTTTCGACGCGGCAACTGTCGCGCTGCTACTGCGTCGCAGGTCGCGAAATGCTGCTCATGAATATGAGCCTCTAGCATGGCTTGAAAACTAGTCGAGTTCCTCGTCAAATAATTACGTGAGTAAGCCGAAAACATAATAATTTATTTAGTTTTTTTTTACGTTCTACGAGGTCGAAACGAGACGGCGTTCAGCGCTCTGATTGGAGGGTTCATTAGTGCTGGATCGTTTTTGTCTTCGTAGAACGTAAAAATATCTGTGCTTCGCCTTATGCCTTCATGGACTAAACTTTTTTGAAATAAGTATAATTAACCTACCCTTCATCAACGCCCAAAATGCTGCCAGCACCATTTTGAGTCTCGTTTTTCAATTTCTGTACTAGTTCTGTAACAAATATTGACATCATTAATACATAATACTTATTTTTTTTACACATTACACAGCACTTTTTAATTTTATCATTCATCGAAATTTGATGATAGTGCGGTTTTATATGCGGTATTAAAAAGATAACTTTGAGCTAGAGACTAGCTTTCCACGGTTACAAATTTCCTTCGTTAGTAATTTGGCTTCATTTTGGGTAGGTCATAACTATTTAGGCATATCTGTGTATCAGGGATAAAATACTATGTTGCTCCCCAGGAAGTAAGATTTTCTATAATTACTTTTTATTAAAAACGTTGTCCCACCCTAGGATCTTATTCTGTATCGTGGGTGCGTTTACAAACATACTAGTTCACATACACATGGCACACAGACCCAGAACAACAATTTTTGGATCATATAGACTTGTTCCGTGCGGGAATCGAACTCGCGATACGTTGCGCGGCAGCCGGTTGCCCAGCCACCGCGCCAAACGTGCAGTGAAATAGATAATGAAAAAAAATTTCAAATTGGTCCAGTAGTTTCGAAGCCTATATATATACTCAATGCAAATAAACAAATATTCCATCTATATAATTTAGTATAGATAGATTGTAAACATACTATCATTAGTAGTGATGTCATGAAGTCCCAAAGTATTTAGTACAAATATTTTGTCATTAGATTCCAGTAGTATCCAGCCTTTCTGTTCCAACATTTGGTACTGCTCATCGCTTAGTGTTATCTGCAAAATACAACAAATGTGATAACATAGATATGGTATCTTTACATGAGTTAAAGTTATAAGATTAAACCCTAAATATTGCAGATCATGTACACCTGTTAGTTTAAAAAATATACTCAATTAAGTACAAAGTCTATAGATCAAAGTCTAAACATGACTATGCAGATCATGTATGTATATTGTTATTGTATATAGACTAATGAAATTGAAGGTGCAAGTCATATATTTGACCATGGAAGTATGTTAGTTTTGAGTATTGCATTAAAATTAAGTCTTCTTTCTTATATCTATACCTACAGATAAATAAATTCGGAGTGTCTGTTTCTAATATTAAAACAGCCGCTTTTTACTACATGCATATATGAATATACATACGATACACATACCAAAATAACATTTTCTTACAATTTTTGTCTGTCTGTCTGTTTTTACTGCATAATCTCTGGAATGGCTGTACCGATTTTGCAACTTTTGTTGGTAGGTAGCTGATGTATCAAGGAGTAAAATAGGCTACTTTTATTTTGGAAAACTCAAACAAAAAAAAGTTATGATCTAATATTCATAATCTACGCGGACGAAGTCGCGGGCAACAGCTAGTATGAGAATAAAATAAATGGAAATAGAATGATCAGCATACTCTTATTGATTCATCTGGCCAAAGTGGCATTATGTAAAGACTAAGCTTCTGCCAGCAGCTATCCTAGCCTATATGCCTATGTTCCCTTGAGATAAAACCTATCTATGCAGGGTGTAAACAGAACGCTCCTAAAAAGCCGATATGTGATGATAAAAACACGTTTTATTTTCATAAAAGTAAGGACTTTTTTATGTAATAACAAGTAAAATCAACAACTCAAGGCTAATGTTGCATGAATAACATGAAAACAAAAACGATAAATTATTTTCTTTTATAACAATTTATTTCTTTTGTCAGTGTTCCGTTTACTCGTAAGTTATAACATACATAACATCACGCGTTTTATCCCCGAAGGGGTAGGCAGAGGTCGGCGACGGTGACCTCTCGCGTCCGGCTCTGGTTCAGACCATGGTACGGAGCGAGGGGGACTGGGATGCCGTCTCCTTCTTCTGCGAAGCAGTCATGCTAGCTAAGGAGGAGGCGGAGCGCGTGAGGGAACGAACCTCCTCACGACCCGGCCGTCGCGAGAGACACTCCGGGCGTCGGGGATTGCAAGACGATCTCCGGTCACCGTAAGCACGGGTCTGCGGACGGCGAGCACGGGTGACTCGTCGCGTCGCGTTCCGCGCGCGCCTCAAGGAGCCATCAGACCACCACAGATGGGGCCTAACAGGGCTGATGCGGAGCCGCGGAAAACTTAACGGGTTGCCGGGGCTCCGGCTCGAAGTGCAGGAGTAGGAACGGGGTGGTTTTTAGTCAGTAAGACACTAACACTCCCTCCCGCCTCAACCGGGCGGGAGAAGTCATTGGATGACTTCCCCCCTCAAAAAAAAAAGCGGTGGGCAGAGGTGCACATTATACCACTGTATAATGTAACACCCACTTTTCACTATTTATGTTATGAGTACCATGTAATCGGGTTGTCACTGTAAGTTATGTCAGACCATAAACTAGCCTTGTTCCAAATTTGATCTAAATCCCTTCACCTGTTCTTATCTGAAGATACTCGCTACACGCAAACTCCTTAAAAAAACCATCATACAAACTTTCGCATTTATACGATGTTAAGCACAAAAACTATTATTATTGATCTAGTGACTTGATAATATTGTACCGAAAATCCCCAGAATTTATTCATACAAAAGTAGTCTCTAAATATCGGAATTAAGGTCTATAATGTGGTCAAATAATATTATTATTATTGACCTAGTGACTTGATAATATCGTACCGAAAATCCCCAGAATTTATTCAATTCATACAAAAGTAAGTAAAAGTCTCTAAACATTGGAATTAAGGTCTATACTTAATGTAGTCAGTGGAGAGTGGTTGCCAGTGACCACTTGAGGATTGATCGGCTAGTGACAGGATTTGATAAATTATTCTGATCTAAAACAGATCAGAATGAAGTTGCTCATTCCAATGGTTTTAGGAATAAATAAATACTACACCTCAGTAAAATTATTCCCTTGTTTACTAGTGTGTGTAACAACATCTATGTCGACATCAACATCCTGTGTGTTTTGCTGTTTATACTCATCAACAATCACATCCTCCTCCATCTGAAAAAAATATAAAGTTGTTATTGTTGTAAAATTGATCACGGGCTTCTGTAATATAAAGCGCACACACACACACACAAACTTTTGATTTTGTAATATTAAGTAGGATAAGTTTTATTTCAAAACATTTTCAACTTACATAATAAAATGTAATCCTTATCAGGAGATTCAGCAAGAATACTGAATATATTATGGTACTACAAAGATTCAGTAAAAATACAAACTTTAAATTTTATAAACAAAAATTAAATAATTAATATCATCACAATTAGGGTTTTATCTTCACATTATGGCACATTATGGCCTTTCATTCTACTGTACAATGTATTTTTAATTCAATTCACTAATTGTGTTACAAGTCCCATGGAATAGAGAATTCCCAAGAGTAAAAATTTTCAAAATCGACTGTTTATTATAAGAATAATCATATGAAACCAAATAAATAAGCCAGAAACATTACCGGTTCTGTTGTGCTGCTTGTGCTTGGTTGCAAAAGAAAACTATTGCTGTACAGGCCATTATCTCCGTCTGGTAATATGAACTGATCTGGAATTTGCATACATAATGTAATCTTAATAACTGGAATCAGCTATTTTACTACACAATACATATTACTTCCATGTTAACTGAAATGAGAGTCAAATCTCTGGTTTGTTGTAGTCGCTAGAAGAACAGCTACCATTGCAGATTTACTTTGTACATTATGTAAACAATATTTTTTTGTGTTGTAACTTTTTTTTTTTTTTAAGGGGGGAAAATCATCGAATGACTGCTCCCGCCTGGGTGAGGCGGAAGGGAGTGTCAGACTCTTACTGACTAAAAACCACCCCGTTCCTTCTCCTGCACGTCGAGCCGGAGCCCCGGTTACCCGTTAGGTTCTCCGCGACTCCGAATCGGCATCGGCCCTATTGGGCCCCATCTGTGGTGGTCTGATGGCTCTTTGAGGCGCGCGCGGAACGCGACGCGCCGTACGCTCGGGTCTGTTTCTGGTCGGACGGGGAGCCACCCATGCTCGCCGTCCGCAGGCCCGCGCTTACGGTGGCCGGAGATCGTCCCGCGATCCCCGACGCCCGGTGTGTCCTTCGCGATGGCTGGGTCGCGAGGAGGCAGCGCTTCGCTGCCTCACGCGTCCCGCCTCCTCCTTAGCTAGCATGACTGCTTCGCAAAAGGAGGAGACGGCATCCCAGTCCCCCTCGCTCCGCATCATGGCCTGCACTAGGCCCGGACGCGAGAGGTCGCCATCGCCGATCACTTCCCTGAGGGCACGGCGGTGCTCAGCCCACGCAGGGCATTCCGCTACGGTGTGTTCCACCGTGTCCTCAGGGCGGTCCTCGCAGTGATGACACCCGGGCGTTTCCTCCCGCCCCATCAGACACAGGTACCTCCCGAAACTTCCATGTCCGGTGAGGACCTGCGTCAGGCGGTAGGTGAGGACGCCGTAGCGTCTCTCAAGCCACTCCTCAAAGAGGGGACTTACCGCTGCAATGGCAGCGAGCCCAGCCCTCGGTTGCGACAGTCGTTGCTGCCATTCCGCCATGAGATCGCGCCGGAGCTCATCCCGCCACGCACTTATCTGGCGCGGCAGCGGAGTTTCGCCCCGGCGACGTGCCTCCGCGCGCATGTTATACACGCGCGCGAGCACCTTCGCCTCCAGATCCCACGGCGGTAATCCGGCAAGGAGGTTCGCCGACTCCCCAGCGATCGTGCGGTATCCGCGGATCATTCGGATCGCCATGACCCTCTGTGACTTGAGCAGCGTCCGAGCAGGACGCCGCAACAAGTTCGGCGCCCAAACAGGGGCGCCGTAGAGGGCCATGGACCGCACGACCCCGGCGTATAACCTCCGGCAGGAGGCGTTTGGCCCCCCGAGGTTGGGGAGGATGCGTTTGAACGCAGCCCCCGTCCTCTCCAACTTTGGAGCCAAACGTCGGAAATGCTCTATGAAGTTCCACCGACTGTCGAGGACGAGTCCTAGGTACTTCATCGCCGTCTCGACGCCGATGGTAATTGTAGCTTCAGTTAAGAACTAAAATAAGTATTTTTTTTAAACATTGCCCCACACTAGGCTCTTCTCCTGTATCGGGGGTGTGTTTACGAACATAAAACGTCACATATGTATCACATCTAAACCCGAAACCATAATTTGTGGATCGCACAAAGAGTCGGTCTGTTTGGGAATCGAACCCACACGTTGTGCAGCAGTCAGTTGCCCAGTCAACGCGCCAAATGTGCAGTGAGAGTATTATGTGTGAGATTTGATATACCTCTCCTCATGGTTCAAGTGTGGGAGAGCTATGCTTCGGCACGAATGGGCCAGCTCGACCGCAGCGATACCACGGCGTTACAGAAAACTGACGTGAGACAACGCTTGCAATGTGTTTCGTCATGTGAGTGAGGTTACCGGAGGCCCAATTACCCTGTTCCCCAATCTTCCTAATCCCTGAATCTCCAACAATCGTCAAATTCCTAATTCCCAAAAGGCCAGTAACACACTTGCAATCCATCCTTGCATGCATCCGATTGCTTACCATTACATGACCCGTCTAATCCCATAAATAAAAAAGTTTCTGTCACTCAATGACTTCTAAATAAAATAAACACCTCTGATTTTCATACTAACTTTGTTCAAAGTCACCAGACACAGAGATGAGTTCAGCAGAATTGTCAACATCTACAAAGAACTGTTGTGAAGACACTCCATACACTGTACATGGTTGGACATCCTCCAGCACTTCTTTTACATCCTGTACCTGAGCTACATATTGGATCTGTCTATTTACTGAAATATTGTAGAAATATGTTATTTGTATAAATTAATCTGTGACTGTTTCTGTATTAGGAGATAATACTACATAAGAGGTGTTTGTTATATTCCCCAAACATTTACAAGTGAGTTGGAGTTTGCAGTTTACAATGTAAGGTTGGTTGGTAGGTATCTTTAGCCCTTGGAGTTTATTATAGAGCGCTCAAGCTCGGTCAGTATCAAATGTTTAAGATCATCATCCGATCATTTTAGTCGTTATCTATCTCCTGACACTTGTAGGGATAATAGGGGTGGTGAGGTGTCAAATATATTCTAATCTGCCGTCGTTAAGATACTTTAGATTTTTATGACATTATACTTACAGAGAAAAGTTCCATCATCTTGAAGAACGAAAAACTGGTCCGGTTCAGTTTCACTACCATTGGATGGTAGAAATTCGTAAGTCTCATACGCATTTTTGTCCATGTTACATAGCTACTGTTAACAATACTGTATGATACAAATTCAATATAATTTGTACGCTAGGTACAATGTTATTATACTCTTCATGTTAGGGTAGTTAAATTATCAAGCGTGCTCATTTATTTATATTTGTGGTCTATTTACCTTTAATCATTAAGAGATAATCAGTAGGTACTTTTATTTTCTGTTTTTTACGATGCCTTTATTTTTTAAACAGCTTTTTAAAACACTGTTTTGTTTATTCGAATGTCACATTGATTCATGATTGACACTTCTTTACTGTCACAAATCTGTCATCAAAATTTTTTTTAATCACGAGTTGCATTCGTAAATAAAAACAATTTAGTTAAAATCAACTTCATGGTATTACACCGTAAAGTCAAAAACATAATTCAAAGTCGTAAATGCTTCACAATGCAGAGTATTTCTCAAAGCATAAATGTAATCTTTCAGTTCTACAGCTTGATATACAGGAGCCTTGAAATTACCTTGTACCATTTGTTGTGTTATTGCTTTGTACATAATGTCTTTTTCCACACAGGAAGCACATCCTTCCCATTCGTGAATATGAAATCTATAGAACTCTGCATCGCACCGTAAAAACTGTTTTGCTATAGGTAGATCATAGCCACATCCATAATAAACTATAGCTCCATTTCGTTCAAGTAATTTTAGCATGACATCTTCGTATCTACCACCTAAACAATTTAAGGCAAGTACAGGTCTAGCTAAGGATGTGTCGAAGGCAGTGAGCTCTTCTGCTTCTTCTAAAGTAAACACTGCAGTAGCTCCTAGACTAAGCAAATATGCTTTCACCGCTTCATACCCACAGTGACTAGCAACAATGTTAAAAGTGTTTATGCCTCGAGCTCTACACAGCTGTATAACAGATTGACCACACGGGCTATTTGCAGCATTTTGTATGATTGTTTCTCCATGCTCTACATTTCTAAAATCATTTAGCAGCCTGTATGCCATACATGGGGCTATTGACAACATGGAAGCTTCAGGAAGAGGAAGATTCTTTGAGATCTGATGGACATCCCTTTCATTATAAACACCATAGTACCGCCATGAGCCTAGCAGCCTGGATGATAGGACAACTCTGTCACCAAACTTCACTCTACAGACATGTTTACCCACTTCTACAACTTCACCAACACCTTCATCTCCTGGTACACTTGGTAGAGTTGGCAAACAAGGGTTTTTTCCTGAAAAGTAATAAGAAAAACTCACATTACCAATTTCAATGTTATAAAAATATGACAAAGAATTACTTAAATAGAATGAACAAATCTATTTTAAGAAATTAATAAGATATATAAACAGAAAATTTTAAACAAATTTATTTTGAACATAAATTAATACAATATTAAAATTAACATAATATGTTTAATTAAAGTCTAAAATATATTTGCATCCTTGGAATCCTTTGGTAGTTAGAGTTTCACCGATGGCCTTCTGGAAATGATCAAATTTTACCAATTTGTGCACTGGGGCTTTCAGTTTTTTCTCCGATATCAAACTGATTAAATGGGACATCATTTCTTCTTTAGCTGAGCTGCTAGCCATTTCATTCCATGCAGTCATCCAGAAACCAAATAATGCTATGTTTTTGAAAATAAATGCAGATGTTGGAATGGTAACTGGTTCCCTCGACATTCCTCCATAGGTAACCATGCTCCCGGAATGTTGTAAGTGCCGTAACATCTCTAATGAGCTTTTCCCTCCAACACAGTTTAAAGCCAGCTTCGGTTTCTCAATTTTTTCTTCTTTAAAAATTTTTGTTGTTCTCAATTCTTCTTCTGTTAGGACAAAAGTAGCTCCCAAGGTATATAAATGATTCTTTAATTCATGTATATCTGGCCTGTCCCTAACAATGTTAATAGTTTTCACATCCCATGCCTTGCAGATCTGAATGACACATTGGCCACAAGCACTGTTAGCTCCATTCTGTATGACAACAATATTATGGGTCTGAACTGGTTGGAAATCTGATAGCATTCTATAAGCAGTGCACGGATTAACAGTGAGAGTGGCAGCTTCCACTAATCCTATATCATCTGGCACAACCTTCAATGAAGATTGGTTAAATGTACCAATGTTCCTCCAAGTTCCTTGAACAGGTTTTGTAACTATAACTTTGTTTCCTGGTTTTAATCCAGATACATGTTCCCCAACCTTCTCAATAATTCCAACTCCTTCATTTCCAGGAATACAAGGCAATTCCAATTTGACTGGGTATTTACCTACAACAAATAATTACAACATCAATAAAAAAATTAAATTGTTTAATGCACTTATTCTGTATAAATATTTAAATAAAATACCTTTGCAAGAAATCTTGACTTTCAACAAAAGCAGAAAATATATAGAAAAATAATTCGTTTTGTGTAATCTCAATTGCTGTAAAAAGATTTATTAATTTCAAAGATTATGTTATGTACCTTGAATGGTGTTTATATCAGCTGGATTGATTGGTGCGGCTAACATGCGAACGAGTACATCCTGAGAGCCCAAATCAGGAACTTCACTTTCTCTTATCTTTACAACATGTAAAGGATCTCCAAATTCGCTGTATACCAGTTGTTTTGACATTAAATTTCGTATAGATCCTGATAAGATCCGAGTTTTTGCGTAATATCTTGCAACTGCAAATACAGGTCTCGGTTTCGGTAAAAAAGCCATTGTATTTTTAGTAAGTTATTTAAATTAAGTCAAACTTGATGAATATAGGTACTAAGAATTTATTATTTAATTCTGAGAGCAACAAAGTCTTGTGACTTGTTGCCGCCGGCTTTTTTATTTTGAGAATGCAAAAGCAGAATGTCAAAAAGAATTTTATTTTGAAATGTCACTTCTATGAAAATAGAAATGTCATGATAAAATTAACTTGTGACAGTGACACTAACTGCTGCCAGCCACAGAACTTAAAATAAAAAATAGAAGATTAAAAAAAAAAGATCAGGTAACATAATTTTTTATTTATTTATTATTTCATCCGTTAAACCAATTCAAAAAAATTTTTTGGAGGTTTCAGTGGTTTCGAACAGTTGTTATAATAAGAGTAGCGTCGTGAATTAACGTCGAGATAAACGTCGAGAATAATCGTCGAGAGAACTCGACCTCTTAGACTGGCCCCTCTCTCACTCTTCCTCTTATCTCAATAATTTACTTAACTTTTTCTGAGCAATAGGTAAATTATAACGTTATAAATTGCTTTAGAGTAAATTGTAGAGACAACAGTGTCCGTTTCTTCTGAATGTCACTTCTATTGTATTCTTGACATTGTTTCAGATACATAAACATATGTAAGTATTCAAGTGAATCTTTTTTATTTTGTTAAATTTTAATCTCATATGACATTGATTTTTAAATTGACATTCTTGACTTTAATTAACCTTTGTTTCTTTGTATAAATTCAATTAAAATATGATATATTAATATTTGTACGCCAAGTAAGGCGAAACATAGTGTAACTAAACCTGTTTTTTACATAAGAACATCCATGTAATACTAACCTATGTTACAAATAAATAAATGATTATGATTATGATTATGTTTGGTATTATACCCACTTACTAGTATAGTGTATAAATCTTGCATAATTCCAGGCATAATTAAAAAAGCTTCAATTAAGCATTTATTTTTTATTATTTAAAAGCTTTTACCGAAAGTCTAAAATGTATTTATGTCCTCGAAAACCTTTAGAAGTAAGAGTATTACTAATGGCTTCTAAATAATTATCGAATTTAATCATCTGGTGTGTAGGAGCTTTAAGCTTATCCTTTAACATTAATACAATAATTTCTGATAACATTTCGTCTTTTGCTGATAAGTTACTAGCTTTTTTGTTCCAAGCAGTCATCCAGAAGCCCTGAAATGTTAGGTTTTTGAAAATAAATGCTGAAGTTGGGATAGTGACTGGATTTCTCGACATTCCTCCATAGGTAACCATGCAGCCAGAATGTTTCAAATGTTTTGCTATTAGCGACGAACTCTGTCCTCCCACACAGTTTAAACCTAGAGACGGTTTTTCAATTTCTTTATTTTTAAATATAGGAGTTCTTTTTGCTTCTTCTTCCGTTAAAACATGAGTAGCTCCCAAAGTTATTAAATATTTTTTTAAATCGTTTATTTCAGGTCGGTTTCGTACAATGTTGATAGTTTGAATACCCCATGTTTTGCACAATTGTATAATATTTTGGCCACATGAACTATTTGCTCCATTTTGAATGACGACCAGGTTTGTCCCACGCACAGGTATGAAATCATTTAGCAACCTGAAGCTAGTGCAAGGGTTCACAGCTAGTGTTGCAGCTTCTGGAACTCTTAAGGCATCTGGGACCGCTGTTAGTGCTGAGGAACTGAATATGGCTAGGTTCCTCCAGGTACCTTGAGCAGGCATCGTAAGTATAACTTTATTTCCTAGACAAAACTTTTTTACTTCACTTCCAATCTTTTCCACAATTCCCACACCTTCATTGCCAGGTATGCAAGGTAGTTTAAGTTTGACTGGGTATTTGCCTAAAACAAAATAATTTACAATTATTTTTTTTTTTAAAAGTTAAGAATTTGTTCCTTATACTATATTTCCCATTACATAATATGACGTACCTATTATAGATAGGTCAACGGCAACATCAACAATAATAGTGTACATTGAGTTTACATTAATACGATTTAATTTTAATTAATAATTAAAGTGAATACTTGCCTTGAATAGTGTTGATGTCAGCTGGGTTAACTGGAGCGGCTAGCATCCGTACTAGTACATCATTTGGACCCAAGTCTGGAAGCTTATACTCCTCAAGTTTTAGAACCTTTGAAGGATTTCCAAATTCAGAGAAAACCAGTTGTTTTGATGTTAAATACCGCACTGATCCTTTCAAAGTGTGCTTCAAGCTGAATTTAGAGTGAATATTTGCAATCATACCTATGTTACTGATTTAAAATATAACTCACATTTTATAAAACTGTATTGTTTATTGCACATTTTGACAAAAGCCTGAAGTAAATAGTATTATTGTTGCCCGATGGTTGCCTAGACACGAAGAAAATAGGTTCGTTTCCACACAGGTTTTCAATAAAATGCCCAAGCCCCAAATTATTTATCTATTATTTTGACATTTTGGGAATAAATTGGCCGTTTGCCGTACCTTTAGGGCTACGACTGCTTTTTAAATCACTTATGGTCGGTCGGCGCAATACTTACCAACGTTCCCTACTCCCATTTTCATCTAAAGGGAAGGACGGATGTTGTTAAAGCTAAAAGCTCTTTGTTATCGTTTACCACAGTTCCTTAATCTTTTCATTGGCAATCCTCTATTTTTTCATTCATAGAGCCCCACTAAAATTCGTCACTCGCGTTGTCTCCCGGTTTTCATTATACTCGTATAGACGACTATTTTTTTTGGTATAGATATCTCTATATCATTACAATTTCTCCTATACGGCTACGTTGACATCAATGGTAACCCTCTTACCAGTGATGAAGCACAACTAAAAAAGGATTCATAATGGAGAAATGATACAGGTTTTTGAGTCAATGTCAATATTTTATTCAAAACTACCCGTTTAAGCACAATGAAATCAAAATGACATGTTCTTAAATATTTTTGACATGATAGCTTTTGATATTGCACTTACATGGTGGCGCTAGTGAAACTTAAAGTTCTATTAGTCCAATCAGAGTAGCTGTGACAAGTTGATGGACTAATGACTTGATGTTAGCAAATATTCTATTGGTCAATAGACCTTAAGCTACACTAGCGACTTACGTAACAAAAAATATCCTCATTAAGTTGCTAAATATTTTGCCATTCCTTCATCTTTTAGAAACCTGTTAACTCGACTGTCCAGGTCTTTACGTGCCATGGGAGCGGTGGAACTTGGGGGAGCTATGGCTTCTGGGGATGGCGTTTGTGGTCTAGGAACTCGGAAGCGACGAGCTCGCGTTAACTGCCAGGCAGTGCTTGTGTTCCGCATTGCTCTGCCTGCTCCTGCACTCTCATCCACGGCAGTCAGTACAGGGCGAGGTACACTGAAAAGTAATATGAAATACATTATTAATATTGAGACGTCTTGGAAATAATTTTTAATTCCAATTTATAAGATTTTTACTTACTAGGCCATTGTGATGGACGCTCTCAATCGGGCTGGTGCTATCACTGATGGTAAATCCGCTGAAGAGTTTCTCTTCAATCCTGGGAAATAATTGAACAATTACAACAATAATAAAACACTTTTTTTCTAGCAACCAGCACCCAATAAAAGTAGTTTCGCATCCTTATAGTCAGTACCTTACCTATACTTTAAGTCTTAATTTAAGATGTCTAGTTACCTAATACATAATACCCAGAAAGCAAATAACGACAAAATACGTAAGTGAAGAGAAAATACTAACCCGAGGACTTTACATTATTAATGGATGATTTGTCTCTCCACTTCTGAGAGCAAACAGGACAAATTGATCGACGTATCGACCATCGAGGTAAGTCATCGTTTTGGGACGGCTTGACTTTTTGTAATCCAGGGATTTCTAGGGGCGCCTGTGAAGAAAGAATATCAAGAAATTATATCCGTAGGTTTTGATCATATGATAAACACATTCATGGATGTTAGATGTGAAATATAAGCTTCCCAATTTCAATATACAATATTTTGAAATCGGCCGAGTAGTTTAGCCAATTCTATGCAAAAAAACAAAAAATATTTTCCCTCTATATTAGGCATATCATGCGAATCAATCTACTTATTGGCATTGGCATTGAATATTTAAATATTCTTTATTGGGGTTTAGGTATGTATAATGAAACTAACTGGGGCAGGTGCGATAGGGGTCTCGAAGGCTAAGATGGAAGGTATATCCATATCGCGTCGGGTAGATATTCTTGACATCCGAGATCGAGAGACACTGCGTTCTGTCATACGCATGCTTAGGCCGTGGACGCAGGCTTCGCTTGAGGGGCTGGTAAAAAAGATTATGTTCTGAGATGAAGTGGTTGTAGCAGTGACTTTTTAGTGATAAGTGGTGTTATAATTTAATTTGTGTTCCTCTGTCTACCCTTTCGGGGACTTAAAAATGATATTTGTTACATTAAGGTAATTTAAACGCTAAAAGCTATAAGTAAAAAAGTTGATTGAATTTCCGAAGCCGAAGGTCGACTTAACTAGCCTTTGTCTAAATAAATAGACCTATGACCATAATAGGAAAATAATAGAACTACATATGTCTACATATGTCTTTACCATTAAAAATAATCTTTTTTTTTTTTTAAAACGTTGCCCCACACTAGGATTTTCTCCTGTGTCGTGGGTGCGTTTACAAACATACAAGTTCACATACACAATGACACCCAGACCTGAAACAACAATTTGTGGATCACACAAAGTGTTGTCCCGTGCGGGAATCGAACCCGCGACACGTTGCACGGCAGCCGGTTGCCCAGCCACCGCACCAACCGTGCAGTCATAATCTTCTTTTATAATTAAAATTAATTTAAAAAAAGAACAAATAATGAAGATTTCTTTAGGTATAAGTTATAACATTCATAACAGTGACTTATTCGCCAAAGAAAACTGTGAGAAAGTTGTCGTAGTTAATAGACATAATTGAATCGAGAGTGAAAGTTAAGTGGGAAATCTAGAGCTTTTTACTAATGTTTCTTTATCGTCTTCAGTTTTTGTTACGCCATTGTAAACGTCAGGTGTAGATATTGCACAGATTATAATTGGCTAATTGCTGCCGTCCATCGCTCTATGGAAATTGTAGTAATTATTGTAAGTAGCTGTTTAAGACTAGTGTTACAACTCCACGGGATCCGAGTTAAAAAAATAATTAGGTATTTTGGTAAGTGAATTGTTACTAACAAAATAATTATTATTAATGCAAAAAAATAACTGTTCAATTAACTAACTCATCAGAAATATCGTCTTGCGGCAAATCGAGAGTTTTGTCTTGGGCCTCTTCCTCGACTTCTCGACTTTTTCGTCGCACCATATCTAGGAGTTGAGTTTCCGTCCCGCCCAGGTCATCAGATCTGGAGAATCAAATTTAAATAAGAAAGGACATAAAATTAACAATCGGAAAAAAACTAAAGTTTTATAGGGCTAAGACAAAATTGCACTTAGACATGTAAAATGCACTCAAAAAAAAAATCCCTAGATACGTAATTTTGAACAGCAAGCGCATGATTTATACCAACGTAGAGCGGATAAAGTTGTAGAAATAATTCGGTAAAAGCCTATTGTTAGATATATCTTTTTTTTAACTTACCATAAGATACAACCAGCCAAGTTCAGTATTTAGTATGCAGGTAAGAAAATAAAGATTGATTGAGTACAGAGACCTGCATACCAAATAACTTGGGTGTCTGTAGTTACCTTCATTAAAATGTACCACGTTAGTAAGTTTTTTGATGCAGTTTGCTATCATTCCAACCGAAAGACCACAACAAATTGGGGAAGACCTTTTTTGGGTGGACAATCAAAAGTCTCAATTCACCTCTCGATTACCCGAACCACCTGGTTCCTACTCCAGCAACTCTATTGCTGTAAGAAGTCAATTCGAACTCTCGAAGCGAGCTCCATCAGATTCTAGCCCGTCATTGGTCGAGATTATTCTAACAACCAATGACATAGGGGACCGCGATTGAGCTTACTTCGAGACTTTTTTTTTTAAGGGGGGAAATCATCAAATGACTGCTCCCGCCTGGGTGAGGCGGGAGGGAGAGTCAGACTCTTATTGACTAAAAACCACCCCGTTCCTTCTCCTGCACATCGAGCCATAGCCCCGGTAACCCGTTCACTTCGAGACTTGGAATTGACATCTTGCAGAGTAGCCTAAATGTACCATGTTGGTGCCGCGATATGTTCAAGCAACATTACCTGCTTTGTTCAGCAGTAAACTTCTTGTGGCTGATACGATAAATTTGTTGGAGAAGTTATACTAACCGCACGTAGTTGATACAACTGTCGTGAATATCGCTCTGTACTGACATCAAGGTGGCGATGTCGGGCGGGCTCTTCACCTCTTCGCCGTATATCGTGCTATCCCGTCGTGTCGCACGCATCCTCATCAACAGCGACGCGTATGGAGTCGCATCATTGCTCATAAAGGAAATGCGACGCTGATCATCCTTTTCGGACCTTAATTTAAGAGACAGACATTATAACGTAAATACTTAATTCAAGTAACAAGACAAGTGTATGATAAGTAGTTAGCTCTGCAGGACTGCATGAAGATGCCCAGTCGCTTGTGGTTCCATACTTCTACCCATCCTCTCCAAAAAATATTGTAGTTTCAGCACATTACAAATGTAAAAAGAAACTGAATTGAAATAGCATGTATTGTAATAGAAATGATGATATCCCCTTTATATATTAACGACTTAATATGAATTTATTTTCATTCAATTTTAACTTAAATACTGTGTCCAATTTGGTGAATTGTCTGTAAAAAGATTTTAACTAAGTACACAATTAATTTTAACAAAACAATTTATCGTTTTACAACCACTAAATACAATAAGCAGGAAAACCGTTAAATTTAAAAAAAAACAGAGTACACAAAACAAACGCCTGTAGACGGTTTACGGGGAAACGCGAGAGTTTTGATTGAGATGAACGAATTGGAAGCTGGCTTGACTTTTTCACTGGTTACATGACTCACGATGTGAGTCAGAGACTGGCTATAAACATAAAGGAGGTTGTGTTCAACGGCTGGGCAGTAGCGGTTGAATAAATGCAACTTGACTCCTAACAGGCCTTGAGACCTATGTCGACGTAATCAACTCCATTGCAACTTGTACATTGTACGTGGACATATATTTTAAACCAAAAATGTGTTCACTTCACTAGTTCCTAGTCACTAGTTCCTTTGAATTTAAAGATAGCATTGAAATAAGGAAAGGAAAAACATCTCTGGAACATTTTATGAACAAATGTGTACATATCTCCTTGATTTACCTGGACTTACTTACCTCTTTAA